GTACCGAGGTTCCTGTTCCACCCATATATGGAGCTCTTAGTAAGCGGAGACATTATAGCAACGTGAGAGCAAGCAAAAAGAAAATGGAATTTGGATGACATGTCTTGTCTTGTCTTGTCTACTTGTTTTATCGAACTAGTAGTGCAACTGGAGAGAATTGGTCCACAAATGAATAGCAGAGTATGTGGAGTATATTCATTCGCTGTCAGCTATAAGATCAGCCAGAAGAAAATCGATACAAAGTTGAATTCGAAAAAGAAACAACAAAAAGTAAATAAGAACGGTAATACTGAAGAAAAATAATTATTTTTATTTAAATTTGACGATAATTTAATGATATGACAGATAATGTGACGAAGTTAGTGTAAGAGATAAATGACCCAAAAAATCTAAAATGTTATAGTTGTTTTCATTGTTTAGAAGAAGACTTAGGCGACGAATAAGAAAGTATGATGCAAAAGTAGTAATATCGATAAGTTTTTTTAGTAAGGAGGAATGAGCTTATGACACATAACACCTCGTGCTCTTATAATTTGGGAATATATGTGAATTAAAATTTTGGAAAAGGACTGCTCAGCAAAAATCAATAAAGTTGAGGGAAATATCACTTTGAGAGGTACAAAGACAAAGATAGGTGGATTGATAGAAGCTCAGCCACAAGCCCCTTGTAGTTTTTTATGTGTAGCTTTAATTAGCCATATGATGTATACGATGGACCTGCCGTCTTGCTACTTGCTTACCTCTCGAAAAGGTATAGGGCATATATAATAATAATAATACAGTTCAACTCCAAACATATGAAGCATCGACCCAAACTTATATTCATCTACATCAAAATTAAACATTAATAATAACCCAATTGCTCTATACACATATGTGCATATATCTCTCTCTATCTTTACGTAAATATTACCTAATCAGATCATAGTAGCGAAAATTCATAGCGCATATGAATCTACTTATATTTTACAACTACCAAATTATTTATGTATTTTTATTTAAAATATGGTGATGAGAAAATCAAGTTGCTCACGGCGCCGAAACTAGATATAGCTAGCTAGCTCTCAGCCCCCACACGCCCCTCCACTTCTTTATATAAACCTCCAAACTCCTCCTCTCACTCTCGCATTGCAGCTATTGCAGAGATATTGCAGCTACAAATATATCTCATCACTTTAACATATTATTGTAAGTTATAACAAAGAAAAAAAAACAATGAATTGCTTGCAGTCTTGGCCTGAGCCCATCGTTCGAGTCCAGTCCTTGGCAGAAAGCGGCATAACCGCAATCCCGGACCTCTATATCAAACCCCCCTCCAAACGACCCTCACTTCTTCCCGCAAACTGCAACCAAGCTGAAGTGGAAGTCAACATCCCGGTCATTGACCTCCAGAACCTGCTGAACCAGGAGGAGAGCCTGCGCGAAACGACGCTGCGTTCGATCTCGAGCGCCTGCAGGGAGTGGGGGTTTTTTCAGGTGGTGAACCACGGCGTGAGCGAGGAGCTGATGAAGCGGGCGAGGGACACATGGCGCGAGTTTTTCGGGCTGCCGCTGGATGTGAAGCAAGAGTATTCGAACAAGCCGAGTACGTACGAAGGGTACGGGAGTCGGCTGGGGGTTGAGAAGGGGGCTATTTTGGACTGGAGCGACTATTACTTTCTCCATTATATGCCCGCCTCCCTCAGAAACCATAGCAAGTGGCCTGCCCTCCCATCTTCATGCAGGTAAATTTTTATTAATTAATTTATAATTAATTTATATTTATTATTATAATAATTTTAAAAGGGAGGCATGTTTTTCATTGAAAACGTGCTTTTATGACTTTTTTCATTTTGTATATCCAACCCTTCATGCAGTGACTGTATATGATTTATTTATTGTGCAAGAAACGTTGTGTACATACACAAATGACTCAATATGAATCTCATTAATTACAATCGAGCTTACTTGAATTAACAACTTACGAAGCTGCGATTTATCGGCTTACAAATTGTGTTTAGCTCTTCTTGCATATATGATATATGTATATATTGCTTTTTGTCTAGACAATGGTTTATTTGCCTTTTGTTTGTCTTTTTGTTAGGGGCGTAGGAAGACAATGATGAAACTTTGAGCTTGAAAATTGCACTTTAACATCTTAGTACAAAAAGATATGCAAATTGATGATGTTTAGATACTTTTTTTTTTCTTTAAAATAGTAAATCTCATAAGTGTTGTTTCCATTTTTTAGAATATCCTCAATATATTCTAATAAAAAGCTTTTTATTTGTGATTATCAAAGTTAAATAGAATTTAGGGATTTTATGTAAAGTATTCTTGTGTTCCAAACTTGTGTTAACGAATGCCACAAAAAAGAAATCTCTTACTATTTCCAAACCCTTAATATGGATACTTTGTAGCTTAGTGCTCTGAGTCTTTTATAATGGATCTACCAAGTTTAAATTAATTGCATGCCTAAAAGCACTAAGTGGGCAATTTCCTAAAAAGCAGATCTAGGCCTCCTTTGGCCCTTTCATTTTATCCTTCACCATCAAGTCTGTCGATGCCCAACACAAGGATTTAGAGCCACAATAAGCACATGCAAATAGTACTTCAAAAGTGCTTCCAAAATTAGAAGAGTCCCCTCAAAGTAAATATCAACTTTCAATTTGCTGTCTGTTGATGTTTTAATATTAATTTTTGTAGGAAACTGATTGAAGAATACAGTGAGGCAACTGTAAGACTATGTGGAACGCTGATGAAGCTCCTGTCACAAAACCTTGGGCTAGAGGAAGACCAGCTTCTCAATGCATTTGGAGGAGAAGAAAACATTGGGGCATGTTTGAGGGTCAACTTCTACCCAAAATGCCCCCAGCCAGACCTAACCCTTGGCCTCTCAGAACACTCTGACCCAGGTGGCTTGACCCTTCTTTTGCCTGATGAAAATGTGGCTGGGCTTCAAGTGCGCAAAGGGCAGAATTGGGTTACAGTGAAACCAGTTCCAAATGCCTTCATTGTGAACATTGGAGACCAAATGCAGGTGCTGAGCAATGCAATTTACAAGAGCGTGGAGCACAGAGTGATTGCAAATTCAGTCAAAGACAGGGTCTCTTTGGCCTTGTTTTATAATCCAAAGAGCGATTTGTTGATCCAACCTGCCAAGAAGCTTGTGACAAAGGACCGTCCTGCCCTTTATGCACCCATGACATTTGATCAGTATCGACTTTTCATTAGGACGAAGGGGCCTTGTGGCAAGGCACAAGTTGAATCGTTAAAATCCTGGGAATAACAATATTTAATTTCTCTGTCTTTTATTAGAATATACATATCTAATATGGTGGTTGTTGTTGCGCCAAGAATGATCCTGTAATTTGTTGTAGACTTCCACAATAAATATCATGTCCAATATTAGTTGAAAACAAGTAAGCTAGTGGTGGTGATCTGATACATGTTGTTGGAAAAATTGGGAAGGAAAACAAACTTATGTACCTAACTTGCTCTGCTAGTGCCCTCCTTGCTTGACTTACCGACTCTCAAACACACAAGTGGACCAGCAAGCACCATATATATTCACAATCAATGTATTCCTAGTGGTCCAATTGTTTAAGTAATAATGTTGTGGAATTACTTTTGGAGAAGAAAATGAGGGCCCAAAAATAAGCATAAGTTTCATGTTGTTTCAATTCAGTCGGCCATTCTTCTTCTCAGAAACCCTCAAAATCAAGTGGAGAACAATGGGATGGAGGAATGTAATCATTTAGATAAGATTGAAATTAGTGTGGTTGTGAATGAAATATAAAAGCAAGCACAACACCTCTCTTTGACAAGGCAGCAAAAATCCTCTTCTCTAATTGTAAAGAAATGCAAAACGTAAGAGAGAGAGAGGGCACAGTCGTCATATTATATATATATATGTAGACGCACGTTTGTTTAATGTTTTTAACTGGAAAGTTTGATTTGTACAACTTTTTTGACCTGGTCATCACTAAATAAATATCCCACTTTTTGGTGCACCATCTATCTTCTAACGCATGCATGTGTTAGGCAACAAACTTTTACACAATGCCGAACACACTCGTCTGTCCCCATTAAGAAAAATTGCTTTTTCTTTCTTTTCCAACATGTGTGGAGCCCAAATGTACCAAGGGGATGGGCCACCCTACGTTCAACCCAAAATTAAGCAGGTCAAAGATAGCTCAGCTATTTCGGGCCATAACACCGTAGCTCAAAGCTTGCCCATTTGCCCAAGAACTAGAAGCAATAGTCTTTATGCCTTCGTCCAACGTACACATTCACAATTCATTGACGAGTTGTATTCGTCTATAAATTCATATGGTAATGTAAAATTATTGAGTCTAATATTGCCCAAGAGCAAAAATGTACAAGGCAAATTAATAAGGCTAAGGGCTCGTTTAGAAGTGATTCTTGATAAGCCAATAATCACTTTTATGGTTCTAAGTGATTTTATGGAGAATAAAACGGAATGTGCTTCTTCCCAGAATTGCTTAAAATCACTTTAAGTGATTATATAGGGAAGTAATTCTTCATAGACGTGATTATTGACATATCCAGAATTACTTCCGAATGAACACTAATATTGGCTAGTGAGTAGGGAGGTGAACATATAAAAGAAGAACAGATTTTTAATCTCTTTAATATTACAATACCATGGTCAATCAAAACAAGAAGCCAAAAAAATACAATACCATGTAGCGTTAGTTTATTTCAGAAACAAACCCAGCATTATTTGCTCACTAAACTCCAAATGAAATCTTTATTTTACATGTTCTAATTCAGCCATTGGCACTAGTGAAAGTGTTGCACAAGATCATGCTAATCATTTTATTAGGAAACATCTTTAACTACTTCTGTATCTATACTAAAAATATGATATGGATATTTTGCTTGCTTCCACAAACTTCCAAGTAAAGCAGAGAAATAAATGGAAGCAGCAAAATCAAAATATCCCATTTGTTGCAGCAAACAAACTATATCTATGCACTCATAGAAAGAAAAAATACTTATAGAAAGCAGGTGGGCACCAAGGGAGATGAGCAGGCTGCAAGGTTCCAAGGAAAGTTGATATGGTCCTCATGAGGGAGAAGAAAGCTGTGGCTTTGATTATACCACTCTGAATTGAGTGCTGGCTCGCAGACCTCGTCGCTTTGATGATGTAGCCTAAGCCTCTTCAGAGCTTGGAATTGTTCTGCAGAGGATTGTATTTCAGCCTTGTCAGCCTCTGAGTCAGCACAAAACTCCTTTGCATTTGATTCCGAGTCTTCACAAAGTGAAGGCAGCGATGTCCGAGGCAACGGTACTTTGCTGGGTTTTGTGATTAAGATCGGACGGTTCTTCTTGTTGTTATGGCGTTCTGCTGAAAATATGTCAAGGAACCTTGCTTGGGCTTCAATTTTATGTTTCAGAATCTTTTGCACCTTAAAATTAATAACCCAAAAAAAAAAACACATTAGTAATTGAGTGAACATGTTAATTTTTTAAATTTATAGATTTATAGATCATACATATGTGTATACCTCATTTTGATCACTCAGACTCCTCTGTACTTGTATCTGCATAATTTTAAGGCTTCATTGAGCTGAGCACCACTGGAAGGTGTTGAAAACACACAGCAGGGTGGAAATTAAATAGTTAAGCCTGTGATTAATTGGTATAACAAAAAGCATATAATTGTTACTTGTAGTTCAAGCTAGTAAGTGGGGACATGATTACTTACGACGTTGCACCGAAATTAGGCAGCATTTCTGAAATGTTTTTCTTCTGAAGTTTGCCTTCTGTGGAAAACGAAACAACACCAGAGAACATTTAAGCAGTAATTAGTAAAGTACGGTAGAGAAATGTACCAAACTTTTTAAGGGAAAAAAAATATAGTATCAAGTAAACTTACTACTGGTCGACTCTGGAATGAACTTTGATATCCTGTACTTCTGAAAATTTAAAAAAAAATCAGCGACTTTTCCGAAATTAAGGCTCAAAATTGAAAAGTTATAATTTAAGCTAGGCAAATTAAGAAGAACATATAAGAGAGAGAGAGAGAGAGAGAGAGAGAGAGAGAGAGAGAGAACCTGCAAATGGCTTTTGATATGGTAGATGGTCAGTCCAGAAACGCTCATAGCCTTCAAGATGCCCTTTGGTGTTGCCCCTATAAATTAAGCAAACAGATTATATATATAAACATAAGGCTCTATGACCTAATATGCATGCACATAACATATAATTAAATTGGACCAACTTCAGATTTAGACTCAATTATAGTGACTTACTATCAGGGCCACCAAGCTTAGTGACTGCCTCTACGAACCTATCATGTAGCTCTTGGGTCCAGCGCAGGCGCTCCCTCCCCGCAGAGCCATCTGATCGACTAGGACCCATTTCAAATTCGACCGGTACCAGAGCAGCCCCAAGCATTGCTCAAAGAGATGGAGGAAGATTATAGACAGAGGGAGCAGCACATAAAACAGTTGTGGACAAAAACAAACCTTAGCTGATCATCGATGTGAACTAAGTGGTGTGCTACGTTTGGATGTAATATATGCCTTAGGCTGTCTCTAAATGTCGGATTAAACTAAGAATGAGCGGAGTCCAAATCATTTCAAACTTAGTTTTCCCTTTTTTTTCCTCAAACCTTTCTTAATTAGTCAAATATTTCAACTTGGTTTCTTGTTTGCAGTGTTGTGTCCGGAAGTAAACGTCTCTTGGTCAAAACTCAAAACCTTATTCACCAGGAAAATAGAAGGGCAACTTGCCCGAAATTGTATCTGCCCTGTTGTCACATTTGTATTTCTTTTGCTTTTTAAAAAAAATAAATAAATACAAAAATACAAAACCAATGTAGCACGAAATGGTTTTATACACATAAGATGAAGCTGTGCAAATGATATGTATCGATGAAAATGAAATTAAGAATAAACACGTCGACATCCCAACAAAGTCAACCCACCAACTGAGAAATCAGATCTGGGAGGGCCGGGGAAGGGCCCATGTATGAGCAATGAATCCATTTTTTCTGTTTTTTTTGGGGTTCCTGAGTATGAGTAATGGATCTAAACCTAGTAAAACAACTCTTCGACAACGTTGTTCATATTTTATGAAGCTATGGTATATACAAACATAAGCGAACTAATAAATTATGTAACGGTCACCGATACCCACCAACAACCAAAAAAAAAAAAAAAAAAAAAAAAAAAAAAAAAAGAATAGGTATCGATGGACGACGCAAAATTCCCACATATGCATGAGAAACTGGCGTAGACTTCTCTAGACTTGAAAGCGAAAATCAATTCAGTATTAAACATACCACTTTGTTTATCAAGATAATTATAATTTTTCAATTATAGTATACTTGACACGAAACATAACAATAACACTAACAAGAAGCAAATATTCTTCATACATTTGTCGTAAATTAATAACCGGAAGATAATATAAAAGCCGAAGCAACGTTTGACGGGGAAGAAGGCAGGCTTCAACCCCTTTGAAAAAGCATCTATTATGAACAAACATCACAACAACAAATGCATTACATTAAATAGTGACATTCCTATACTACTTTTGTCAGCCACTGAGACGACACGCTATCTGCCTTTCCTACCCCGGAAGGTTTGAGGTTGAGTGATCACTACTGCCTGCCCCTTTTCAAGCTGCAAGATGGGCATTTGTATTGCTTGATGTTCTCAGCCTTAGCGGGTGTTATCTTCACGCATTTTCCATGGAACCATCTCTCACAGATGTCACAGCCGATCCAAAATTCATCTGCGTTATAATTCCCACCACAGCTCCCACAGAGAGTTTCACTATGTTCATCATCCTCCTCCTCGAAACTCTCGTCTGGAAGCTTAGGATTGCTTTTCACAATTCCATCGCTGGATCTCTACAGAAAAGAGGAGCCAGTTAATGGACACAGAACAAGTTTGTATTCCAACATCAGCAGTTTGTTTCAATATGTATATATATATACATCTCCAAACCAGACGGGAAACAAAGCGCAAAGTTTCTGAACCAACTGAGAACCTTAAAGGGGAACATGAAATCTGAAGGGGAAAAAACAGAACAAGAAATTGATCCATCTGACCTTTGTGCTGCCTCGAGATTTGCTCCCACTATCCACACTGGGCTTTTCTTTAACGGGTTTCCTTTCCGTCACAACTTCAAAGACAGTAGGCAGATCATTGATCAAACTAAAAAGGCGTTTCCTGTCATTATACAGAACAAGTCCTGATGAATAAAACCACTGAATCTCAAGCAAAGATATGCTACAATGCAGTTCCCCTATGTCAAACAATGGTGTCTTGGTGAAAATTGCAGAAAAAGGGACGAAGTGCTCAAAATTCATCAAAGATTGTAATAGGCATTTTTAGGTTCATTTCTAGTTTGATAATAGTAAGCGGGACAATGAAGAATTGACATGTAAACTAATGGATTTCTATCACAAAACCTATGATTTCAATCTTTCACTATCATCAAGGGAGATGGCTAGCACTTAAACCAAATTCTCCACTCATGTTGGTATTCTGCATCAGGCATTATATGAAACACAAAACCCAAATCCTGAAGGAATACTCTTACTGATCACGTGTCTCCTACAGTGTCTACTGATAAATCTTATGTAATCAGACTGATTGTATAAAAGCATCTGAACGAAGGCTAATATTAGCAATGAATAAAAACAGAGAATTTCCTCGTTCCCAATTTCTCTCTTAGTTCTCTCCCTATCTTCAACCTAATCTGAATTCGTTCAATTTCAGTTGAGCATCTAGACATCTTAAATCAACAACAGAGAACTAGGGATACTACCACGCTATCTACATCACACATGCAACAACAACAATAAAACATTGTGTACCTCTCATTGCGGTTAAGGCGTGCTCCAAAATAGAAAGCCACAGAAAGCAGCCAAGAATCACTGTGAACAGCAACCAGAGAAAGCCAGTCCTTGCGATTCATACCATCTCTTGCAAAATTGATCCCAAGTGCTGGCTCAGGAAGCTCGGGTGGGACTTCTTCTGCCGGAAGTGTCACTTCCCAGGTTTCATTTGGATGCCCATACAGACACAAATTCTCCTTATCTATACCAATGGGAGTTTTTAAAAAAAATCATAAGTTGTGCCTTCAAAGAAGTAGGGAAATTGTTTTGAACTTCCACTACAATGAAATTATTTACTACAGTTAAGGTCCAACGCAGTTTCAAACTTTCAATTGTAGCAAGCAATTCATTTGAAGTAAAATTAAGATTTAGCAGAATCAAACAACGGACGATGTATACCAATTTATTTTCCTATTTTCGCATATTCTCAGTGTTTGGGGAAGAGAAGACATATACATAAAATTAACAAAATAAATCAATTAAAATATTTAGAAAGCAAGCAAAGGAGAAAAGTAAGTCTGATCTACAATTTGGCATTACCTGGATCGCAGAGTCCGTAGAATTCATCTACATCTGTGAGAAAACAATTACACAAAAAAAAAGTCAGAGATTCTCAAAACCGAAAAATAGAGAGAAAGAGAGAACGAGAGAGAGATTCAAGTACCGTAAGTTAAAGCACGGACAACAGCAGTTCTCCGAGCACTGTAATCTTTGAAGATCTCCTCCACGTTTCGCGGACTCGAGGCCATTTCCATGGGATCTAAAACGACGCGTTTCGGAGGGAATCGGGAATTTAGTGTTAGGGATTGAGTCTGCGGAGCGAGTTCGAATTACAGAAAGCGAAGGGACAGAGCATGAAGACAGATCGAAAGAAGAAGATGCATGTAAACGTGGGAGAAGAGAGAGACAGAGAGAGAGAGAGAAGAAGAAGAAAGACAGACAAGAGAGGAGAGAAGAGAGGGTGTTTAGGTCGTGGGTACTTGATAAAGCCACTCCTCCAGTCCCCCAACAACGGTGAGAGAGAATCTAAAATATTACTTCTATTCTAATTTACCGACGGGTCTTTATATATATAGAAATTGCTATTCGCACGAAAATATTATATCAATTTAACTTAGATGCCTCTAACTTACTGTTATTTTCATATTGGCACCATATTCCTCTGTTTTTTTTCCTTTTGTTTGGTTTCAGGTCAATGTTGGAACTTGGAACACTCACAAGTCATTTAGACTAATTTTGTAATTTTTATACAAATTGAAGACCTATGTCCACTTTCTTATCAACATGAGACAATCTTATGGTGAACTTCGAATTCAATATGTTTAAAACTCACGACTAATCTCGTGATCTTGTAATTGAGTCACATTATAAACTTTTATGATCGTATTGAATACTAATCAATCTTCACGCTTCAAGTCAAAGTTGAAACTTCATTTTTGTTTAAGCTCAAAGTTGGAGCACTTGCAATTTAGATTCATTTTATACAAATTGAAGTACCACTTTGTCACTAAGACAAGTCCTTAAGCTGTACTTCAAATATTGAAAGCTATTTTGCCTTTGGTTGAGCGTTGACTAAGTGATGGATTAAGTCCAATTTTTAATTTGACTATTTGATACCCTGTTTTTTTTTGGTCAATTGAATTTCATAGAAACCTCAGAAACAGAGGCAACGAAAAACAAAGGGAAAGTAAACACCATAAACGAAACCAAGGTGGAAACAGGGCCACAGAGAACACACTAAGAACTCAGACACAGCAAACCTGTTTCCCACAAAAAAATAAAAAAGTTGGAGGGCAAGACAGGCCGTCAGACACCTAACACACCAACTAGAGACGGTGGTGGTCTCTCGACCCAACACTCAGGTTCCACCGCTCGCGATCCTATCTTAGCAGCCAAGTGAGCTGCACGATTTACACTCCGAGGAGCCCACTTCCAGCACACCTCAGAGAAGCTAGAGGAAAGAGTGTTAACTTCCTCCAAGATTGGGGCAATATTCCATGCCCCATTGTGAATGTTACCAGCAACCCTATCCACAAGCACCTTAGACTCAGATTCCATAATGATTTTGTTCTGTCCAAGATTAAATTATTTGAGACCGTTTATAATCAGTTAGAGCTGCTTATTTTTGTATTTCCATGCCAACCACTTCTACTGTCCCCACTAAGTTCAATATTATGTGTCAACCTTGAGATTCAAGCCTGTCAGAAGTATCCCTCCTTGGAATGGGATTGCAGCATTAGCTGCATATACACAGAAAACCTTTGCAGCTGATGCCTACATATACAAACATATCAATTTAATTTAACTGTTAACTGAGTTTCATTTTACCATTGGAGGAATCACAATCAACAAGGCCACTGTAACAGTAACTACTTCTAAATAGATTAATCACAACAAAGCATACATAAATAGGATATTTTACAATAATAATTGCTCCCATTCATCACAATTTAATTGGTGGAGAGCAATCTACTAGTACATAAATAACACAAAAACAATACAGCCAAACACTAGCTTGGTGCATGATGAAGGGAATCCTAGAAAGCTAGTGTTTGGCTGCAGAGAAAATGACTGAGAAAAAGAAAAGCAGACAGAAAAGGGAGAACTACCATCAAGCGTTTATGAAGATGTTAATAGCTGTCTGATGCCAGCTTTCTGCTCTGAGGTAAGCTTGGGGATCTTGATGTTAAACTTGAGAATCAAGTTACCCTTTCTGCCTCGTCCCTTCTGGATAGGCATCCCTTCCCCTTTAACCACTTCTTCATGGGTGATACTGATAACTGAATCGATAAAGACCCTCAGATTTCTCCCATCAAGGGTTGCCAGCTGCACCGTGTGACCCGTCAGAGCTTCCGCAAGGGATATGTTCAGAGTGACAGTGAGATCGTCCCCATGCCTCTTGAAAAAATCATGAGGCTTCTCTTCAATGGTAAATATGATGTCAGCTGGTATAACACCTCGCTCCACATCATGACCTTTCTCTGGGAAAGTGATTTTGGTGCCCCGTTTCCAACCAGGCTTGATCTCAATTGTTAGAACTTCCTCCACTGTGCTTTTTCTTCTGCATTATCAAACAAAAACAAAAAGAAATTTGTGTAAAATCACTTTTATAATTTTCTAGTCACTTTTAATTTCCACACCAGCCCAGCTGGAAGATAAAGCATATAGCATTTCTAATGATAAGATCATCAAGCTAAGGCCATGTTTGGTATTAAATTATGCTCCCCTGAGCCCAAAAGACATTTTTAACACCCCAGATGCCAAAATTAAACAAAAATATTCATAAGAAAAAGAAAAGGGCTTACCCACTAGCACCAACAACATCCTTAGAAATCTTCATCTTTTTGGTGGTGCCATTGTACAAGTCCTCCAGAGTGCAGGGCAATGTCTTCTCTATCGCCGCAGCTTTCCTAGGCCTATCTCCTCCCCTCTGCACAAAAGTCTTGTCGCCGAAGTTGAACATGCTGTTATAGTCCGGGCTCCGAGACCCGCCAGCCCGTGACGCCCCTACGTTGCAATTCCATCCGAAACCCGACGAGAATACATCTTCATGGCTCCGTGATCCGAAAACCCCTGATCCCTCCATGCCTCACTCTCTCTCTCTGTTTTTCTCCTCTGTTTCTATCACTCTGTGTGCGTCTAAAGCTCTCCTAAACTCTAAGCTCTGGCAAAACCTTTCTTCGAGTAGCACCTGATTTATAGGGTGAGCTCAATTATTGATGTCACAAAAGCAACAGAGCTCGATCACAATCATGGATGGAATATGCAGGACCATCAAAGGTTCAAAGGGTAATTTTGCGAGACTTCCTAGACAAGGCACACTTGTCTTACGAGGAAAGTAGCTCAAGCGACTGTAGCAGCATTGTGGGTTAGCTTTTGTGAAAAGTTGAAGACCTTTGAGTCAATACTTCTATGAGGGGTTTGTTTGTGTGGTCAATATTTCTATGAGGGCTTAGTCTGTATTTTAGGTAGGAGGGGACAAAGCTATCTATCTTTGCATCCTTTTGGTTCCCTTTGGTGACAGAAAACAAAGTTTACAACACAAGTATTTTTTTTAACTCTTCTGAATCTAAACCCCACAAATAAACTAATCAACTACTCACAAAGTGCTCGCGCTCATCCACATGAAAAAAAGTCTCAATATTGAATTTTTTTTTCTCATAAGGATAATGATTTTGACACTCTCATTTTGTTTGTTTGGGCTCCTCCTCCCCCTATTTTCGAAATACAAAACTAATATCGAAGAGTTCAGAGGGATAATCAGCACCTTTCTCTAATAAATGGGCCACCAAGGCCCATGCCAATCAGAGATGTTGGAGCGGAAAATTTTGGACCCAATTCAAAGAACCAAGAAATATGCACATAACATGAGAATGCAAACTTGTACAAGAATATAATAGAGATTAAATTAGAGAATATACAAAACTGGTGATGGGAGAAAAATGACTCATATGCCAACTGTAGGCAAGGCTGATTAGTTCATCAGGTAAACCATCTTACAGCAAGGCTATCGTTGCTCGACAAGAAACATCTGCATATAAATTCAAGCTTGAATTTTGGTTTAAGCTCAATGTCGGAACACTTGCAAATCCTTATGACTCATTTTATGATCTTTTGTTTGAGTTCAGCGTTAACTACTTCAAACATTGAGTCCAATTTTTAATTTGATATCTGAGACCGTCTACTAATCAGATGAGCTGCTTGTTTTTTTGGTGCTACTGCATCATACTGAGAAAAACTTTGCAGCCTAGACAACTAACACAAGAACACACAGGAAAGCTTACGCAAGCTTGGCAGATGGTGAAGGGAAACCTAGAAAGTTAGTGATTGAGTGCAGAGAAAATGAAAAGCAGAGAGAAAAGTTTGGTGATATGGTAGGGAGAGCTATCACCATACCAGCATTTACGAAAATGTTAACAATTGTTTGATGTTCTGTTTCTCTCCTCTGTTTCTATCTCTTTGTGTGTATAAACTCTCCTAAACTCCGTGCTCTGGCTAAACCCCTATGTCCACTACTCAATTGGAGAAAGTCTCGAAATCGAATTCTCTTCTTTAAATGGTAGTGATTTTCACACTCGTTTTGTCCATTTCATCTCTTCTCCCCTTATTCTCATGCTTTGAATATCAAAGCACAGAAATAATGGGGAGAAATTCTAACGGATAATCGCCACACGAGAAAATAAAATTACTCATGTACCAAGTGTAAGTAAGGGGCATTGTTCATCGGGTAAACCATCTTACAACAACGTTATCATTGCTCGACAAGAAACATCTACTTATAGAAAAAAGAAACGAAGCTCAATCAAGGCCTAAACACTTGGAACTAGTCACTTCGACGCATTTTATGATCTTCTGATTCATTACACAAATTCAAGCTCCATTTCCACTTCCTCATTAATACAAGACCTTAACGTAAACTTCAAGCAAGAAACATGAAGAATATTGAATCCTACGCTGCCTATTTTGCCTTTGATTCAGCGTTTACCATTTCACAGATCATGTCCAGTTTTTGATTTCATATCTGGGACCGTTTCTTAATCAGCTAGAGCTTCTTACTTTTCTGTTAACTGAGTTTCCTTGTTACCATTGGAGGAATCACAATCAACAAGGCCACTGTAACAGGAAGTGCTCCAAAATAGAGTTAATTACAGAGCATAGATTACACCATATATTGCAATAATAATTGCTCCCGTTCATCACAATAATGTGGTGGAGAGAGCAATCTACTTGTACACAGCTAACACAACACACACACAAACCTACACAGTACAATCAGGAAAGCTTGGTAGATGGCGAAGGGAAACCTAGAAAGTTATTGTTTGGGTGCAGAGAAAATGAAAAGCAGACGAAAAACTTCGATGGTATAATCAGCATTTACGAAGATGTTAACAAATGTTTGATGCTAGTTTTCTGCTCTGAGGTAAGCTTGGGGATCCTGATGTTAAACTTGAGAATCAAGTTACCCTTTTTGCCTTGTTCCTTCTGGATAGGCATTCCTTCCCCTTTAACCACTTCTTCGTGGGTGGGACCGATGATCGAATCAATGGAGACCCGCAGATTTCTCCCGTCAAGCGTTGTCATCAGCGCTGTGTGTCCTGTCAGAGCGTCCGCAAGAGAAATATTCTGAGTGACAACGAGATCATCCCCATCCCTCTTGAAAAAACTATGAGGCTTCTCATCAATGGTAAAGATGATGTCGGCTGGTAAAACACCTCGCTCTACATCATGCCCTTTCTCTGGGAAAGTGATTTTGGTGCCCGTTTTCCAACCAGGCTTGATCTCAATGTTTAGAACTTCCTCCACTGTGCTTCTTCTTCTGTAGGTCCAAACAAAACAAAACAAGTCCGAATTCTTTAAAATCCTTTTCAATTTTTCAGTCAATTAGAAGGTTTCAAAAGGTAAGTAGATCAATGACAAGATATACCAAATAGAGGCACAACATCTTGTCTTGTGAGGTATTTGTTCATTTCTTACCCGCTAGCACCAACAACATCCTTAGAAATCTTTATCTTTCTGGTGTTGCCCATGTACAACTCCTCCAAGCTGCAAGGCAATGTCCTCCTTATCGCCGCTGCTTTCCTCTGCCGACCATTGCCCTCCGCTGCGGCTATAAGCGACTCGAATATATTTTCGCCGTTCATACTCCTGATTTCGGGGCTCCGAGACCGAGACCCACCGGCCCGTGACTCGCCCAGGTTAACCCTCTGTCCAAAAAACTCCGAGAACACATCGTCCGAGTCCCGAAAACCGTCATCCCGTGACTGGCCCATGCCGCCGCCTCTCCCACCAAAAAACTCCGCGAATATATCTTCTGGGCTCCGAGACCCGCCGGGCCTTGATCCTCCACTCAAACCCTCCTCGCCGTACTGATCGTACACTGCTCGCTTTCGAGGATCGCTCAAAACCTGCCCAATATTTGATTAGCAATAAATTTCAGGTGGGAATTTTGAGAAATTTTTGTTCCGAAGTAAAATTAAAAAGATGACATTACAATTACATACGTCGTAGGCTTGGCAGAGTTGGTTGAATTTGGCCTCGGCAGCTTCCTTCAAGTCAACTTGACTGGCGTTTCGTGGTACTTGAAGAATCTTATAGTAATCGGCGCCCATGACTCTCTATCTCTCTGGTAAGAAAAGCCTTGGATTTTCTGTTCGTGTAAACTCTGGTTAGTGGTTGAAGCTTGTTCAAGTAGCCACCATATTTATATGGCGAGCTCAATCATTGATGGGTGGCAGCCAAAGAAACAGAGCTCTCTCTCTCAATCACAATCATAGATGGAATATGCAAAGCCAAGGGGTCCAAAAGGGTAACTTTGCAAGACTTCCTAGACAAGGCAGAACAGAAAGCAAAGCACCATTGACTACGACAAGAATTGCTAGCTACAGTAGGTCAAGCGACTGTAGCAGCAAAACTGTTTTGTTCACCATCTTACACGTGGCCTACCACTTCAGGAAGGTTCAAAACTCTTCGCTGTGAACTTCCTCGAGGGTTTTCCGACCGAATCCCGAAAAATAAAGAAAGAAAGAAGACTTCCTCGAGGGTTCAGTTTTTATGATGTGAATGATCATGTGAGAGAAAATCGTTTAATTTTCGTGTTATTAGATTAATGCTAAACTAATAGAGTAGGTAGTATTTTGCTCTTTGATAACGGCCAAGACTTTCGAAGAAGATAAGTGGAGGACTTCAGTAGTTGGTTCATTCCAATTTTCTTTACCAAATACAAGGAAAAAAGAAAGTTAAGCTTCAGTTTGTTCCTCAGTTGCATTCGTTACTTATGCAAATGGGCTGCCTATGCTTGTAGGACTATAGCTATAAACGACTCGTCCAGGTCGCCTCTTCTTTTTCGTTTGGATTAGAATGGAAGGAAAATAAAACCCTAAACTAGCCTAATCCTAACCCATTTCCTCACCTACCCAGCCCAACTTTGACAATCTTACCATTACACAAGTAACACAATAGAAATATCTACACAGTAGACAGCGAGAGTGGTAGATGCAGAAGCAAAGAGGGAAGGAGAAGGGGAGGAGGGGAAGAGGGGAATTTTAAGGGGGAAATACCCTAAAGAGGTTAACAAATAGTTTACAAATTTCAAGTGTCAATAATTTCTTGTCTATCCAGCATTTCTACATAAGTTAAGAAAATATTGGAAAAGAAGAGAAATGGAATGTGGAAATTAACAACCTCCTAGTCAAATGCTGTGATCAAATCCCCAAATTCAACGAGGCGTGAATTTCCAATCCAGAAAACAAAAAGAACAAAAACACTAGCAAACCAAACAAATGCAAGCTTTCACAGGTTTGGTAGATGGTGGGGCGAGCTACCACCAGCCTCTATGAAGATGTTAATAACCGTTTGATGCCAGTTTTCTGCTCTGAGGTAAGCTTGGTAGGGAACTTGATGTTAAACTTGATTCTCAAGTTTCCCTTTTTGGAAGGTTCCTTCGGGATAGGCATCCCCTCCCCTTTGACCACTTCTTCATATGTGGGACTGATAATAGAATTGATGGGAACTGTCAGACTTCTCCCGTCAAGTGTTGTCAGCTGTGCAGTGTGACCTGTCAGAGCTTCCGCAAGAGATATCTTCTGAGTGACAATAAGATCATTCCCATCCCTCTTGAAAAGACTATGAGGCTTCTCATCAATGATAAAGACAAGGTCTGCTGGTATAATTCCTCTCTGTTCATTCCCTTTCTCTGGAAAAGTAATTTTTGTGCCTTTCTTCCAACCTGGCTTGATCTCAATTGTTAGAATTTCCTCCACTGTGGTAGTTCTCCTGTACCCAAAAAAAAAAAAAAAAAAAAAAGAACAATAAATGGTATCCAATCCAACAGACATGTCAATTAAAGGGATCCAAAAGGTGACAAATCCACCCCTGGAAGATAAACAATAACATTACTAATGACAAGATCATCAAGCTAAAGCTTGAAGAGTTTCTCTCCAACATCAACGTGTATTATAGAATGCTAATATACATCCTGCCAACTGGCAAATGAATCTAACCACAACCATATTCTAAACATCCATATCCGCCGTGGATGGTATCAAGTTACGATACCCCTAAAACCAAAGACATTTCTGCCACCCTAGTGCAACAATTTCATGATTTACCTCAACACTGTCCACAAACCATATGTACATGTGGCCCTCCCAGGCTCTGAACTTTAGATAATCATAATAACTGTAGCACTCAATAGTACAGTAATCATTCTGGTATGCCTGGGTACTAGAGACAGATAGACTATGTAATCGTAGTATAAATACAGGCAACACTTGAATATATAAGTAGTCACAAGAAACATGACTAATATAGTAATAATAAGGATGCACAGAACTTGACAGCATTTTCATCAATAATAACGTGGTGGGTTTCAAGAAAGACTTCTAAGTGATAGGTGAAGTTGTCTGAGATTATCATCGAGGATATAATGGAGATTAGAGAACATAATTTTCCAAAAAGCTGTAAGGGAGAAAAAAAGACTCATGTGCCAAACACACATAGTAAAGATTAAGGCTTAGTTCAGTCAGTTCATCTAAGATTATTTCTTCATCAGCGCTGGTTATCAGGTAAAACCATCTTACATGGCTATCATTGCTCGACAAGAAAAAACCAACATAAATCTCCCATTTAACTAGTGGAACCTAACACCAATTACCGCAATCTTAACTAGTTATCCTAATGTTTGGGATGAAACCAAGAATCACCTAACTGCACTATTAATAATTTAATTACATTCAGGATGACCGCTAAAGTCTGTGGAAAGACTTTATAAGGGATATAAAATGTTGGTGGTACTGGAAAGAACCATAATCTAAGATTTAGTGCATTTTGTTACACTATAACTAATACAAGTTAATCAGATAAATCAGAAGAGATGCACAAATTGTGATGCATTCATCTCTTGCAACTGCTAATATATACTGATATTTTACTCAATTTTCAACAAGAACTTTCCTATCCACACAATGATATTTGTCTATCAAATGAGAACTCAAGTGGGGAAATAGAAATGGCACTGGAAGTTTAAAACTTAAAACAACTTGAACATCAAAACAACATTAACCAGAACAGAACTAGCATCAGTAGTCATAACATCATTCACTTACGCTTGAAAAGGAAAAAAAAAAATTGCTTCAATGCACTTCTCTTCTATCTCCTGTCTTGAACAGTATCATGTATAGGCTCTTAAGGGGATTCAGATGCAATACTAAAACATTAAAGAAGAACACAAACTAACAGAGATCCAAAGTCAGGAATTCTAAATACACCTGAACAAAAAATGCACTTGAATGATGTGAGAAGATAAAGCTAATTGCACAAACTAACGGAGATCTAAACTCTAGAATTCTAAATACACCCGAGCTGAAAATGCCACCTGAATGATGTTGAGAAGATAACTTACACACAATGTTATTGCTAAGACTCGCAAATTCAAACCAGGAAAGGAGATAACTTACTAAAAACCTCATTGTGCAACCTCAGCCATGCAATCAACTCACCCAAGAAAACAAACACACACATAGAGAGAGGGTCTTAAAAATCCAACAACAATATTTATATATAGAGAGAGAGTAAAGGCTTACCCACTAGCATCAGGAACATCCCTAGAAATCTTCATCTTTTTGGTGGTGCCCTTGTACAAGTCCTCCAAAGTACAAGGCAATGTCCTCTCTATCGGTGCAGCTTTCCTGGGCACATTCCCTGAGGCCTCTGCTCCACCTCTAAATTGCGCGAATATGTCTTCCCCAAACATACTCCTCGGGAATGGGTTCCCACCAGCCCGAGACCCGCCTGCCCGTGACCCGCCCATATCGGGCATTCCCCCGAAACCCGAAAACCCGAAAAATTCAGAGAAAATATCATCGGGGCTCCTGGTGTTGAACCGGAACATCGTCGGACCGCCATCTTGGCCTTGGCCTTGCCCGCCCGACCAGGAAGAATCAGGCGGCGGCACCCCTCCCTTCAAACCCTCCTCACCATATTGATCGTACACTGCTCGCTTTTGGGGATCACTCAAAACCTATCCAATTTGATTGATTGAAAAAAAATTGATAATAAATCTCAGTTGGGAATTTTAACAACAACGAGAATTTAAGAGATTACGTACGTCGTAGGCTTCAGAGATTTGCTTGAATTTGGCCTCGGCGGCTTTCTTGTTGTTAGGGTTTTTGTCAGGGTGCCACTTCATGGCGAGCTTTCGGTACGCTTTCTTCAAGTCATCGTCTTTGGCACTTCGTTCTACCTGAAGAACCTTGTAGTAATCGACGCCCATGCCTCTGTTTCACTCTGTATCTCTCTTTCTGTGTCTCTCTCTTTCTCTGGTACAAAAAAGCTTAGGATTTCTGTATGTGCGTCTCGAAACGTTGCGTTTTAGCTAAACCTGGGACTTCTTGTTCTGGTCGGAATGTGGTGGTGACGTGACGTGAGTTAGCCATCACAGCATACAACCGCCGTTTATATATGTGGGCTGACTAGGCCCGTCCCAATCGCATCCTCTATCTTATTGGACTATATTTTATGATGATAAATCATACGGCCCAAATTTGATAACCAAATTTTTTTACTTGGATTGGAAGATAAGAATCAAATTGAAATTTGTCATCATCAAAAAGTGTTCAACCACTTGACCTTTTTTTAATATATAGGTTGCTTGATGAAAATCCAATAATTAATAATAAGATTTGTTAATAATATGATTAACGAATCGTCACCGCACAGTTGTCATAATCAGTATTTAAAAATCATCTTTGCATAAATCAATCAAATTGAAGATCTTTTATTTGGTAATATGTTTCAAATATATATACGGTTCATCATAAGAATTTTAATTGTTACTAAAATTTTCAATTTATATGTATAACTAATCGATCTTCAATTTAATAAATTTTTTGCATAAATGATCTATAAGCAAACGGTTTCGATTATGAAATGTGTATGATGAAAATTCATTAATCAGAACTGGTTAGATAAGAATGATGGACTTAAGTATAATGGATAAAGAAATAAAGATAAAACAGCAAAGTACAACGCAGCTGTGCTTGCTGTTGTTGTTGAGGTAACAATTAACAAAAGGCCCACAACCACCACCGCAATTCCACGATATTTACAATTGTTCTGTTTTTTTCTTTTAAAGAAAACAGTGACAACTTACAGATGCAGAAGAGCACCATTGTTTCTTTAAGCTCATATCGCATTCAGTGACAGAGGCCGTGGTGGTGGATTGGTGTGGGCTGCCATGGCGCCGATTGGCCAGGCTGCCGAAGTGTACGTGCCGAGGAGCATTCAACTATGGCGAGCTTTCATCAACTGGATGGGCTTCTACTTCCAGATCCTTCTTCAGATCTTGAGAGACACGCCTTGCGTTCCTCAACTGCTGTCGTTCATAGGCCCCTCTTCTCCTTCTTTCAGACCCTTGCCCGTCGTCGAACTCCCTCTCAACGACTTGTCGTCCCCTGCCCAAGTTGAAAACGGTGTCATAAATGGTCACCGCCACATTGAAAAGCTCACAGTGAGTATCTTCATCTGTTAGTTTTGTTGGTGTAGTTGCTAATTGTTACTGTTGGAAGTTGGTTTCGTTGCGTTTTTCTTTCTGGGTTAATTCAGCTAAATTGATGGTCGGATGCTGTTAATTATCTGAAATAATAATCTGGGTTATCTGCCAAAATTGGAATTTTCATTTCTTCAAGTGAATTTGATCATCATGGTTTTGTTAATTTGCGCCTTTAGAAATTAGATTTTAGCGCACGGACATTTATTGTATTATTGATATACCATGAAAGTGACTCCCTTTTTTAGTTAATTGAGCTAAAAATGAAGGAGCTTTTAGCAGTGTTAGTATTTTGTCGACTGGGTATTTGAGCTTTTAAATTTGTTAGCTTTTAGCAGCGATATTGAAGCTTAATTCCACTTGTTTCAGTAACATGAGCAGGCTAGTGTTTTTGAGTGATTGGTTTTAAACTTGTTATGGATTTTGTAATGTAGGTAGTTCTTGACTTGGATGAGACTCTAGTATGTGCTTATGAAACATGTACCTTGCCTGCAATTGTTCGAACTCAAGCGACGGAAGCTGGGCTGAAGTGGTTTGAGATAGAATGTGTATCTTCTGACAAGGTATGTAGACCTTTGATTCTCTTTCTCTGCAACTTTATACTCAATTTGATTGTCAAATGATAGTGTGTCTAATATGTTATTTTTGGGGTTGAAGGAGCCAGATGGCAAACCAAAAGTCAATCATGTGACAGTGTTTGAACGTCCTGGTTTGCGAGAGTTCTTGGAACAGGTTTATGAATTTGCTGATCTTGTACTATTCACTGCTGGTGTTGAAGGTTTGTTGCTTTCCCAGTTCCACAATCTCTTTTTGTTCAATTTCTTTATCTGATTTGCTATTTTCTTTTATTTACTCTGGCCACCGTACAGACTATGCTAGACCACTTGTTGACAGAATTGATGTGGAGAATCTATTTCAGCTTCGTCTTTATCGGCCTTCTACTGTTAGCACGTAAGTCAGTGAGCATGCTGGTGCAATTTGATAATAAGTGCTGACATGTTGTGGGATATATCAACACACACACTCATACACTTGCACACTGAAGAATTTTTGCCTTTGATTATCAAAGCTCAAGTTGGAACTTGGAATGATCTTTGAAGTTGTGTAAACCACAGGGAATGCCGGGAACATGTGAAAGATCTATCTTGTTTGTCAAAAGATCTCTGTCGAACTGTGATTGTTGACAACAACCCATTCAGTTTTTTGCTGCAACCGCTGAATGGAATTCCATGTGTTCCATTTTCTGCTGGACAGCCAAAAGATGATCAGGTTATTCATTTATTTACGTTTCAAATGAAGAGTTAATAATGAACTGAAGCATGTTCTAACTGATTCTACCCTTCTTTGCTTTTCATTCATGTGGATTGTGTAGCTCTTGGAGGTCCTGCTTCCTCACCTCAAGCATCTCTCCCTGCAAAAAGATGTGAGGCCTGTGCTTTATGAGAGATTCCACATGCCTGAATGGTTTCAAATGCATGGATTTCCTGTTTCCGTTTTGACAGCATGATGTTAACTAACGTCACTTCAGGGATAGGCAACAATTTGCCTTGGGGCGGCACCTAACCAGATACACGTTTGGTGGAAGCATTTCTCTCGATGTAGGATTAACTCCGATTCTTTTGTAATTAGACTATAGGGTTGAATGAATTTGGAACATTCAGAGAATTTATGTTTTTTATTATGGCAATTCCCAAAGTATACATCAAATAAGAAGAAAGAATATATATGCAAAAGACTTCTTTTCCTCCTCAAGTCTGTTCAACCATTTCACTTCCAGTCAATAGTTGCTTCTCTTCCTCCTCAAGTCTTTCCAACCATTTGAGTCCTAAATCACATCCTCCTTTCGCAGCAATCTGGAACCGTGCTCTTCCCATCTCTACAGGATCGGTAACAAGGCTTTCTCCATTCTTTCTTGCCGTCCTGGCCAAAGAACCCCTCTTTGAAGTTAGCTTGGTCACAGATTCTGGGATTTCAACATCTCTAAGAATAAGAGACCTAAATGCTATAGCTGCACCAGCATGCCCCTTGTCCGATGCCCTATGTAAACACCACAATGCAGAGGCAATATCTTTCTACACACACTCCCCCGTGAGATACACGGCACCCAGAAGGTAAACCTGGGTGCAGCTGGTCCACAGCCTTCTCCAGATAATGGAAAGCTTGTTGATCCGATTGGACGTATTCATTTTCGACTCTAAGCTTACAACCTAGTTCATACAGCGCATCCGGATCACCCATATTTGCGGCTTCAATTAACAGAGCAGCTCCTACGGCTCTGCAAGCCCCCGGGACATGGTATTTCAAATGCAGTTTGGACAACCAAAACCTGGCATGGGTGTTTGAATTGTCAGCTTCCAGAGCCAGCTCAAAGTTTTCCTTTGCTGCCCTTAACAGAGGGATGAGACGGCGGCCATTGAGCTCGCAGTAATCGATAACTCTGTCCACTTCTTTCAAAGCACTCCACCCTTTGGCTATCAACTCCATGGCCTTCTTGTTCCTGCTGTGCATCTCTCTCCGTTGATTGAATTGAGTGACGCCATTGGGAGGTCTGAAACTGAGCTTCTTCAAGAGCTGCCTCTGCATCATCTCTATGTGGGCGTGAGAGAGAGAGAGAGAGAGAGAGAGCAATTAGCGCAAGCATCAAATCAACAAGCAGGGTCTATTCAAGAATAGCCAGATCATAGGATCAGAGTTCACGACTTGCCACAAGAAACCCAGACGAGAATTGAGGATAAAAAATGTTTCCTTGAAACCGAAATTGAAGTTGGAATGTTTGAGAGGAGTGACAGAGGCAGAAACCCAAATTTTTCTAGTTGAGAGAAGACTCCTGATCCGAGTCCCACCCACGATTCTCGAATATGTTGTTGAGAAATAGCTGGGCTTATTCTTTGAAGTTCAATAATTTTATTTTCACTTCTCTCAAAAAACTAAAAAAATTACTTTCATTTTAATTTTTATTAAGATAAACACTGCAACAAAAGCTGCATGGTAGGATCTCCATTTTGATATTTTTAATTGGAATGAGGTTCAACACAGCTTTGGTTTAAAGTGATTAAAAGCGTATTGAGAGTTCACATAATTATTAAAACATTGGTCTGCCAAAGATTCAACAAAAAATACATCGAGTGCTGAAACGTAATTTGTTTCAATTACAAAACTTTGATCATATGGTACACAATCGAACCGGTGCCTACTGAATCTCTCTTATTGCTCACTATTCTAAGAACGCGGTAATTCTATGATACAAGATCTGCTCAGTTTTACCATTTGATAAGATACAAAACACAACCAGACTGCCTTGATGTCGTTCGCGTCAGGGTGAATAGATTTGTAGCACGGAAGTCCGTGTACTTACGGATTCCGGTCTGTTCTCTGATGTCAAACTTAAAGCAGAAAACAATTCGGAATTGACTTGGAATTTCAACAAGCACTGGATGACTCCTTTGATTTCTCTGCAACTGCCTCCTTATCTGAGTTGCTTGCATCTCCCGCCTGAGACTGACTGGTTTGTGCCTGAGAATCTGAAACAATTCCTAGAACTACCAATATGGACCTGGAAGAAAAAAAAACCAAGCCCAGCTCTAATATCAGCTGCTGATTCCTCCTCCATTTTAGAGATCTTTACAAGTGAGGGTTTTCATTTACCTTGGAAGTGAAGATCGGATGTCCGGTTGGCTAGCGTGAGCAACCAACGGTGCTTTCAGAGCTGCAGTTCTCTTCAGTGCATTTTCTAGCTGTGGTGGAGGTAGCTGAGTCAACAATACACATATCATCAGAACTCATAAAGAAGTGAACAACAGTTGTTTCAAAGTCCGAATGTACATTCTAAGATAAACAAATACATCACATATTAAATTAATAATTTCCTACCTCAAGTAAACGAAATAAACCGGAACACAACATAATCTACTTTGGAATTCCTTTCTATTTTTCTCAGTTTAAAAAGAGGTAGAAGTTCAAGGATTTGGTCCAACTTTTATAGGAAAGCAAGGAGTAAATACGCACCTGAAGCAGGACGCCAAATGACTGAGGCTTTGTCAAGAACACGCACTTCAAGAATCCCACCCACAACTTTGGGTATTTCCATATCTGCAACATGTCATCAATCACATTAATATATTATAAATAATAGATGGCAAGAAAAAAGCTTAGGATACTGAAAGTTACCTGCTTGCTCACAAGTCGAGAGAGGATCTCCATTATAAAATCCACCTATGATATTTATTGACAAAGCAAATTCGACAAGTCAGCGACATGCTAGCCAAAGTTTGAACATGAAAAGTAGGCTGAATTTTTCATTAAATTTTAAGGGTAAGAAATTGAAGATATCAATGACAAGTGGCAACTAAATTGAACTAATGAGGAAATCTAGCAGATTTGCAAGTGGGTTCAACAATCATGGGGCATGTTCAGCCTACAAGCATTGTAGATTTAACAAATCCCTTAATGCAGCTAGTGTCCAGAAATGTCAAAGATATAATCGAAGGTATATTAGTATTTACATGAATGCCATAGACACATCTGCACATGGTCATAATACTCAAACTGAGCCTGATTTGAACAATATAAGTTGACCACGAAAAATTGGTTGTATGTTTGGATCTACTTTGGCTCCTTAACTTTGACAGACTTGGGAGTTGTTACGGTGTGTGATAGAACTACAGAAGTTTAAGTTTGTTAACCCAGAAAGCAAAATAAGCATTATTACTCAAACTTTTTCTTTATTCCTTAAAAAATATTGAGAAGATACTTTTTTTCTGCAAGTTATGATGAGGACCTCACTGTCAGACCAATTAGATTTTGAGGGGGAGATTAATGAATTCAAAGAACTTTTCAGCGATATATCCTTCACTCTGGATTGTTTTGTCATGCAGTCTTGCTGTAGGTGTCACGCCTAGGGTTTCTGCGAGTATGATTTCTAGAATCTTACTAGCGCGATGCTAGTAGTTTCTATCAGTGTAATTTTTTCATGTTGTTCCTTGAGTTTTCCTATGTTTCATTAATTCTCAACAATTTACAGCATACATCTCATACTAAAAAAAGAGCAGAAATCCCACATATTTCCCTTGTCCTGAATCAGTTTAAAGAGTTATTTGGATCTTACCAGTGCAGGAAAAGCACCTATGGCTTGTAATACTGTACGCATGAACAGTAAAGGAAGGGGAATCTGCTCAACCTGCAAGTATGAAGCTTGTCTTTTAAGTTGTGCTTGAAAGAAGTGGTAACAAAAAGTTAATAAAGTTCCAATGGTACAGACCAATTGATTCAAAACTTTGGCAAGAACTTGTTGGGTGAATATCTGCCTCTGCTCAAAGCAGGCGTTGCATGCATCTGTGACCTGTTCAACAAAAAACATAGCCAGCCATTCATTATTGCCACTCAGAGGGGTATCCAATCAATATAAACAAAAGATGACATGCCTTCTTTAGTGGAATTCCATCTCTGTCGGGATCAATTCCATGGATAGCAATCAAGATTTCAGCTGGAGCAAGAAGAGGACCAGAATTGGATGATCCCTGTCCAAGCAATATTTAGGATCAAGCAGCGAATAAGAGATGTACTTTACAAGCATATTAATAGTGAACTATACCAATGAAATCATCTAAAAAGTTTTAGAGCTTGACTAAATAAAAGGCATAACATGTGTATTTTATCTAAGATGGGTGGGCAGTTCTCATGTCCATAGAGAAACATGGCCGAAAAATATGAAAAAAATAAAAGAAGAAAAGGCTGTGAACACAGCAAAGAATGATGAATAAAATTTGTAAAATATCTGATAGCATGCACATTTATGCAAGAAGGAATTATTAAATGATAAGAAACATACAATACCAAAGGAATTATTAACTGAGAGAAGGGTCTTACAAATAAGGGAGTTTTACTAAAACACCCAAAATGGGGGCTGAAATTATAAAAAAACCCAACACCCAAAACACTTTATAAACACACCCAAAACCCATCATTACACACACTCAAAACCCATTTATAAACACACCAAAAAAATATACAATTGTTGATTTTGGGTGTGTTTCTATGTTTAAATAGTGCTTGAGTTTTTTTATAAATACATGTCTAGGATTGGGTTTATTTATAAATTTGTATACAAATAATTCATCACATAGACAAATAAGCAAATTTACAGACATAGAATGCCTGATTCTAGCAACTCAGAAAGCAAAGCAAAGTGGGGCATGGGAAGCAATTGTAAATGAGATTCAATAATTTCCAGGTCACACTTGTATCAGAAAATGACACAAATAATTGAAAGGCAATGGCATTATCTTCTCATATTTTCTGTAATGACCATATGAAATAATCCAAGAACTAACAAGGAAACAAAAATACCTGTAGTGTGCGAGCTAGTGCTGCTTGGAACTTATCCAGTTGAAGATTCACAAGTTGGGGAAATATAAGCATAACCTAACAAATACAGGATTATAAAATAATTAGCACCAAAACAAAAACAAAAAGAGTGCCAACTGATAATTAACATCAATATAAAGCATTTAAAAGAATAAAGAATCAAACGTAAGTTATTAAGAGCTGGAAAAAGTTCACCCAGAATATACCAAGTACAAGATAGTAAATTGCATTCGAAGTACAAGATGGAATAGTATAGCAGTTATTTGGATTGTGGATGGAAAGAAATAGCATAATCTTCAGTGATGGGGAAGTGGAGTTGCAAAAGGAGAGGAGCATTTTGTTGGCATCTTTTCAGGCATCAAGGTCAAAGCATTTCAAAGTTATGAATTAATCTGTAACAATTTTCTTGTAAATTCAGCATTACTTTTGTCATAGATGGACACCTTGTCCATCTCTTCCAGTACATCATTTATCCTTTCCACCAAATTTATATGTTTCTTAGCCTTAACAATGACCCAAGAACAAAAGCAAGATACATGCTAGACTATTTCAGAAGAGCACATATGGTAATGTTGTTGAAGGAATAGTTTAAGCAACCCCCAGTCCATCAATATTGAGTACCCAAACATACCTATAGCTCAGTCACACACAAGTTTTATAGAACAAAGATATGTAACAAGTAACAAAAGGCACGCATGCATGCACGCACACAAACATCACACAGTAGATGCAATTATGATAAGAAGGTGAAAAGAAAGGAACCTCTTCTTTCGGTAAAAAGGGCAATATTGGAATAAGAATCTCTACATCCTGTAATCATTCATAACCAACCATATATTAGCAAATAGTTTCAGTTCTTTGCAACTGTCAGAAAAATGTTAAATGTACCTTCAGTTTTGAATCATATAGCTTCCTAACAGTAAAAACCAGTTCTCGAGAAGGAACTATCCCATCTGTCAGTGTATGCAAAACCTGATGCCATTAAACAGAGGGGGAGGTTAAAGATGTTATTTACTATGGGATGGTGTTGACAAAACTGTAATCTTGATAACTGAAAACCTGCATCAGGAGGCTCTCGCTTCCACTTGGAGGATCAGAAATAATTTCAAGAAGATCTGGTGACGATCCCATAGTACGTACAAGTATTGGAATGTGACGATGAACTGCCTGCACTGCATCATACAACTGATAAGAAGAAAAACCTCTTGGGGCAGAAATTACAAGCACAACGCTAATTTATACATCAATGCCCAATTCAGAATAACTAAACCTGCTTAACGGCCTTTGATGCACTTCCATAAACAGCAAATATTTGGCGAAAAAGGGAATGCTTCTGCCAATGAGATTTCACAAATCATGTTAATTTCAACAAATAAATAAAAAGTACTGAACACAGAGAATAATTATTGAATGGACCTAAGAAGTAATTCAGTTTTTGATAATAAGTTAACGACCTTTGTACATAGAGCAAAATATAATGACAAACACCGCTGGGCCTCAGCAATTGAAAGGGATGACACACTTTGAGAATTGCATGATTGATGAGTATCAGAGGAGATATCTTTACTGTTACCACTCACAGATGGAGGTTCATTTGAATGCTTTTCCAAATCAGAATCCTGATGAAAAAGCAGTTAGATATTAACTCTCCAATTCAAGTCAATAATACAAAATATATTTTGAGTGAAACCCCACATCAGCAATGCAAAGATTATAACCTTCTGTGATTCTGTTTTTGATCCTTCAGCATCTGTTCTTTCAGTTGCATCACCACATTTTACAGAAAGCAACATTTCAATTGCGAAATCTTCTATTCGTTGAGCAATGGATGACAAAGGATAAAGCTTGTTTGCAACCTGTTAGACAAAGCAACCCATAATGGAAAGTTAGAACCAAACATCTAATTCTTAGCTCTAATAGTAAGTTGTGAATAAGTACCAGACGTATAGCTTTCATACGCACTTCCTCCAGATGATAAACTGCACTCTTCCAGAGGAAAAAGAGAACAACAAAGTCAGATGAAATAAAGATAAAAATATAAGTTCTTTACAGAGACAAAATAGTATGGAATTTCAGAAACAGAGGTGTAATGTAAAATAAAAAGAAGAAACCTGTAAAGCAATTTTTAAGCAGGGATCGCGGAAAGGAGGCCTCAGCAAAATCAGGCTCCACACGGTGCTGAGACCTTGAGTCACTCGATCCCCACCCTGTGTTTCCTTCTCAGTTGTGTCGCTGCCTCCAGGTGAGCACATGCACTCCAATAATTTCAGAACTGAATTTGGTAAATAAGGAACCTCGCCAAGTAATCTGCTTAATGATTTGTCAGACGCTGGAAAAGAATCTCTAAGTGTTTCTGCCTGCAATGATATGAAAGATAATATATATTATTCTTAAGTTCAACATTTGTATTGCAAAAGGAGGAGGGTTAATAATATAGAGATAAAAAGCACACCGCATTCAAAAGGAACGTTTCATATACAGAAGTAGCAGTTGTTGAAGAAAAGAAATCGTGTTCCTCTTCTGCCTCTCCAAATAACCTGTATAGGACACGCAATGTCAACTCATGTCCCTGAAGAGATTCCACAATCACTGTCAGCTAGTATTTTATGCTAGAGAATCACAAGAATACATAATTAAGAGCTATGATCCTTATTATTAACTACTAATGTATGTTAAAAAGTATTTGGATAAATATGTGCGCCGGCAATGAATTGGCTCTCATCCAAGCACATGACACTTTTTGCACCCACATCTTGTAAAATCACCAGGTATGTATTTCCTAAAATTCTTATCACCCAAACACAAGAAAAACAAAAGAAGGAATAAAGAGACTTATTAACTCCATTACTTAATCAATTGAAAAATTTTCAATCCTGACTAAAACAGATCATCCTCTTCTGCAAACCACTGTATTTAATACTCATAGATCACCCATCCATTTTGTTCAAAAGACCAAAACTGAGTTATCATTTTTAATTAACCAAGAGCGCAATCTTGTAGATATCAAATTAACCTAATACAGATTCATTTATAAAAAATAAAAAAACAATGGAACTGTATCATACAATCATCAAAACCCATCACATACCTCATTATTCGTATAATCTGCCAAGATATGCTTCTGCAGCAGTTTCCATGGGTCTAACTCCAAAGGGAACTACCAAAAAAAAAATTCAAATTTGGGTTCCATAAGAAACACACTATTAAACAACATAACTAAAAAAATAAGACACCATACAGTTAGCCTTAAGAAAATAATCAAATTTTGGGTTCCATAAGAAAACACACTATTAAGAAAATTTTCACTAAAAAACATGACACCATACGGTTAGCCTTACTTAACTAAGAAAGGCTTAATTTCAGCCCCTACTCCTAACCCAAAAAGAAGAAAGAAAAAACTAAAAAGGCTTAGCAATTAAAAATTAAATAAATATCTGAGAAGCAATAACAAAGTAAAACTGAAACAAGGAACTGAACCATCACAGCCGACAAAAATTATAATAATTGTATCTAAGAAGCTAGAAAAATACCTCAACTCCTAAATTTATAAGGAGAGAGCATCGTAATTGTGAACCTCCAGCAATAGCTATTTGCTTATATGCCTCAATGATGCGCGTAAAAGCCAATTTCTGCAACTGATCCTTCTCTTCATCAGCAAGGATGACTACCGGTGCCGACATCTTGGGCAAGACAAGATGAGAGGACAACCCAACTGAAGTTGCTGTTGAAGAAACCAAGCTATTGACATCTGCAATGGCAGCTCTTGGGCTAAGCTCCTCAGACTTATCCGCTGACAGTGATGGAAGTACATTAAGTTGTGTCCTTTGATCCGAACTGGTAACTTGCTCTTGACTTGCATCTTCTACTTCCATTAAAGCTGATGAGGATGCAATGAAGGGTTCTGATAATCCACTATTACAAGCAGAAGAATCCAGCCCAGGTATTTCACTCTCAAGATATTCCATATCATGAACATCAGATGGCACAGGTTGACAACCCTTCTCCATTTCAGAAGAAAATGGTAAACCAGTCGGCAACGTAGAATGTTCAGCTTCATAATCCATGCCAGTACTTGCAACAGCGCTATCAACTACAGATGCTACCTGTTCTTCCTCCACTTCGGGTTTCTGCAATTACCATAACATTGCAGTTCAAGACACATAAGGAAAAAGGGGGTGAAAACCAAGATAAGAATAGAAAACCATACCACTATATCATTGGACGCTAACTGATGAGTATCTAGGAGTGCAGCTATTGGAGGGAAAGTACTTGTAAGTGAGAGAACATCAGCAATAAATGATGGTGGATATTTAACTCGAGAATCACCACCAACTATACCCATGTTCATCAGAGATTCATCTCCTTCAGCTCCAGCAAGATTGGGAGGAAGGTTGTACATATTAGCCATCACAACCTCTGCTAGCAAGTCAGCAGAGATACTTGAGATAAGAATTTCTAAAGAACCAACTGCTTTTTCACCTTGAGCTACCAATGCACCAAACATAGCGACGAGTTGCTGCACAGGTCCACTATCACTATCTGCTCTAGAAGTGGTAGTTCCACTTGAAGAAATGTCATCTTGAGACACAGAAATATTCCTATCGCACTCTTTCACTGATTCCTCAGAGACACTAGATGTCGATTTGGCACGCTTTCCAGAAACATCTTCGTCCTCTGCAAGGTCACTACTATCCAGTGCTCCTAACCGTTTCCTCCGAGAACTAATTTGCACAGCATTAGATGTTTTAATTGTGGGTTTCTCCTCCTGCAAAACATTAAGTTCATGCTCAAGAAGCTCCGAGATACAATTATGTCAATGGCCCAATGTGTACTTTTGCAAGAGCATCTATTTTATATGTACCTACAGAACTAATATAATAAAATGGGAAGCAAAGGTGAAGGAATACCCTATTAATTGGAGAATCATCTAGTCCGTCCTCCACACTTCCATTAATCTTGGAAGCTTGAGGAATGGCTTGCTCTACCAACCCTCCAGCTTTCAACTTTCTCAAGGCCCCAACTAAACGATCCCGCCACTGCAAAAGCAAATCCATCATTTAGCAATTCTGTAAAACAAAGTAAATGCACAAAATAGAAACTAGATAACATCAACTAAAGAAAGCCGCCACCTGGTCTTTCCATAGACAACTATTTCAGCAAAAGATTGCAATGTTATCAATGTTGAACCATGCAAGAAATTTACGAGCAATGAGACAAGGCATTAAGGCATATGCCTTTTGGGAGTAGAATTTAGAAATTCCTACAAGTGGACTTCTAGTTATATTCTTTCAAGTCGAAACAATTGCATTCCTACAAGAAATATCCTTAATATAAATACAGATCCATGGGGTGTTTCTATGAACCACAGTAGGACAACATGGGCTCAATGGCATTCCAACTAAATAACAAAATTACTCATGACAATCACACTTTCACTTTTTGCAGAAGGTTCTTTAATTTTAACAACATGCTTACTTGCTGAAAGAGATGCACCTAATAATTGTCAAAACTTCAAAACAGTTACTGCTTTATACACCGAAACCTAATGTCTTTCAGAGCCACATATTATCAAGCATTTTAAAGCAGTTATTTCATCAACCTTCACTCCCTCACTCATTAGAAATTGATACCATAAGTATAACATGAACATTTTAAGCAGGACAAATATAAGGTATTTAGAATAGTCTGGTATTAAACAAAATACCGGTGCAGCACCCTTGTGTGTACATTTTAAGCAGGTGAGGAAGGCATTTTTTAAGGCATGGTGCGCCCCAGAGACATGTACCCCATTAATGACAGCGCTTGAGGGATCAAATCCAAGTAATACAGGCAAAATGCGACCATAGAATGCAGGCCTCTTCTTCGCAATTGCTGAAAGACTGGCAAGAAATATCATATAGAATAAAGAAAAAAGAAACAGTAACAACTGTTAGCAATAACATATACAAAAAATATAAGGAAGCTCTTGACACACACTTGACTCAGGATAAATGCTATTTATATTTCTATTCTTGTACACAAAATATACGTCATCCCCAGAGAAATAATGATACACCATAAAGTAAAGGAGTACAAATGTATCAGAATATTGAAATCCCTGGGCCTCTACTTGTAAATGGCAACACGTTACTACTGTTGTCATCACCCTAATGATCCTAAAATACAGTCCTCAAAAACTACAATCGTCTCTAACATGGCTTTTACTTTTACTCCATCGAGTATAAACTTGTACATAACAATTAACTTCACATCAATAATTAGAAACTAATTATATACATACTTATTGTATATTTCTATTCTCTTATACAACATATAAGTTGTTACCGCTCCCAAAGAACAATCTCTTAAGAATCCAAACATCATCATACAGATGTAACCGGTATGACATCAGGAGACAATAATATATCACTCAGCACCCAAGACCTAAATTCCCATATATGGTATGTCCAAACTTATTTCTTGGCAAACTCTGGTGACTAAGGAAGGGAAACGAATAGAAAATTCCCTTATACCATGCACTTCCTCCAATTACTAAGAGGCAGAGTTGGTAAAGTGAGCAATTTCTACAAATTTTTATCTTTGTTCTGGTGAACACCCTCACTGGAGCTGGTCATCTATCCCTTTTCAGCATTTAAATTTAGGATAGAATAGCTGTATGGAGTAACTCATAACTTAAAAAATTGTAGAAAATAAAAAGAATCATATGACATAAAGAATGCCAATATACCTATTAATAAGCACAACGATCACTAAGTTACCAAGCGATTTCACAGTTGGGAATCTGAGTTGATCAAGCAATAAACCCAAACTTTTACTAGCCTCAATTGACAAATCTCCAACATTGAGTAGGGGATGGCCACCACGAAGCCAAGATATATTAAATTCCACCAAGTCACCTGCAAAACAGACAAGAACCCTTCATAAACAAAAACAAGTCATTTGAGTTCTGAGCCCAATGGACAGTGTCAAATTGTATTACCTTCATGAGCAGGGGGCTCTGGGGAGCCATTAGGATCAGGAGTGTAAAGAAGAATGACTGATTCAACAAATTTCAGTGCTAGCAACCTTACCCCCCCACTTCCTGGCTGGTAAGCATGATACAGTGCATTAGACCACAATGAAAACACATTCATATGTCATCCATCAACAAAAGAACTATTTCTTACCCGAAAAGCTATCGAGTATATTTCCTCCTTCAACTTTAACACCCATGCCCAAGATGACTCAAGCAAACTATCCAATTCACTAGAATGTAAACCCTGAAACATTACCCGTGACTCAGAATGTCGATGATTATAAATCAACTTTAAATCGAAAAATTGATACTAAAATTACTTGGATTTATACATTCAATATTTGATCATAAAAAAGTAACCTGAGCAGTAGAATCAAAGACACCATTAGTAAGCATTAAATAACGTTCGACATATAGAATTACCTGAATTGAAACCTTTTCGAGAACACAACGAAATAAATGAATCCCACTAGTGATGGCTTGTCGAGCAACAGCCGGTGTTCCATCACTCAAAACATTAATTAACGAAGGTAAAATTTCTGGTAATAATTCTACGTGCATCAGTCCAATTTCGCCAAGCATTCTATATTGCAGAAAAAAGCCACAGGCAAAGCCTTCAATAAATAGATTATAAAACTACTATAAAGAGAAAGAAGAATTGAACTGGCGAATAGTACAACTAGGGTTTGGAGAAAACGCACTCAGTGGCAAATTTTCGAACCGGACTGAACTGGTCGGACTGAAGCTCGAAGAGGCGAGGAAGGAGCCCAGAGAGCAACGCAGGGTCTTGTTGGACCACCAAATCTTGCTTTGATTCGCGTAGCCGGTCGAGCTTCGACGGTATGTCAGAGGCCAAGATGGCTGAGTCCATGAGACTCGCGAGTCTTTCGTTGGAGTTCGCGACCATCATCATGCCCACCATTGCAGAACGAAAACCCTAATTTTTCTTACAGAAGAAACTACAAGATCGTTAAATTTACCCGTGCTTTGAACATAAGGTTTCGGTTGGGAGGGGCGAAGAGAGATTTTAAAATGTCAAAGTAGAAGGAGAGGAAAAAGGGTGGGAAGTATTTCGTGACTTCTAAACGAGCAAGGAGTACGTTGTTTCCAGTTAAAAGCCAGATGAGCAGTTTAAGCAACTTCCTTTTAAATTTTCTTTTTATTCTTAATACCTTTTCGTTAAAAGAAAAATAATAAAGATTTCCCTATTTTGTCTTCCTTGCGTCTCTCCAAGTTGAACTAGGATTCCGTACTTATATTTTTCTGAAATTTTGGAGTAACTTTTTGGTTCAATGAATATATTGTGCCTTAGGTTAATTGACTAAAGCAGTGTGCTCGTTTCTCCTCTAGTTCTTCTCGTAACATTGAAATTTCCTCTATATTTATCCCCTTTTGCTTTTTGATTAACGAAGGGGGAGGGAAAGAATTACTCTTGTTGTGGATGTCCATATTGGCCTCTCTTCTATTTTTCTAATGCTTAAAAAACCAAAAACAAAAACAAAAATGTCATCGAACAAGCCATTCATTTTCAACTAACAATTTCGATAATTTTTCAATATGCTATGAGTAGAGAGTTCTACAGGATCTCAAGAATCAAATTTTATACGTGATCTTTACAAACTTTTGATTTTGACATTTATGAATCATGATCCCATGATCTCTGTTTATGGTCGCACTTGTTAGTTAAGTCGGTTCTTGCACGAGTTGGAATCCTTTGCACAGTGTGGAAGTAGAGTTATGGATAAGTTGGATCACTGTATCCTGGACTTTCAACCTAGACCCGAACTAAAACTCAAACTTGGGTCACTTGAATAAATTGGTTAGGCGTTGGATCACTCCTTATCTTAGACCCTTAACCCAGGCCTCCACCCAAACTTTGGAAAGAATGAAGCCCAAACGGCCTAAACACTAATCCCTGATGTTAGTGGTGAGCAAAGGAAGCAAACACCAGTCGAAACCGAGGCAACTTGGAACTAAAACCACTTGAATGATTAGCATAATGCACATATAAAGATATAAACATTACAAGATTAGCATGCTAATAATCAGTAATTAGACAAAGATTGTTTTATGAACTACTACAAAGCAGAAACATAAACTTCATTCCTTATTAAATTAAGCAAAACTAAACCCAACAAACAAACAAACAAACAACGACCCAAAAACATAATCTCCAATTAATTTTTTACATGTAAAAAAACTAAAACCCACACACCCAAACACCGCCTTCCTTCTCCTGCCAAACAACAATGACTGTTTCATCACTCGGACCGATTAGCAAACCTCTCCACCTTCTCGTCCTTCAAATTCAACCCAACCATGGCCTCGCCCAACCCGCAACTCACCTCAGCCAGCACATCCGGGTCCCTGTAATGGGTTACAGCCTGCACAATCGCCCTCCCCCGCTTCACCGGGTCACCGCTCTTGAACACGCCGGACCCGACGAACACCCCGTCGCAACCCAGCTGCATCATCAGCGCCGCATCCGCCGGCGTCGCCACCCCTCCCGCCGCGAAGTGCACCACAGGCAGCCTCCCCAGCTGCTTCGTCTGCATCACCAGATCGTACGGCGCCGCGATCTTCTTCGCGAAAGTGAACACCTCGTCGTCGTCCATGTTCCGCAAAACCCTAATGTCCCCCATCACGGACCGCACGTGCCTCACCGCTTCGATGATGTTCCCCGTGCCGGCCTCACCCTTGGTCCGGATCATAGCCGCTCCTTCTCGGACTCGGCGGAGCGCCTCGCCGAGATTCCGGCACCCGCAGACGAACGGCACCCGGAAATTGTGCTTGTTGATGTGGTGCTCTTCGTCGGCGAGGGTCAGGACCTCGCTCTCGTCGACGTAATCGACGCCGATGGCTTCCAGGATTTGGGCCTCGACGAAGTGGCCGATTCGGGCCTTGGCCATGACGGGTATGGTCACGGCCTGCTTGATTTCTTTGATGAGTTGCGGGTCTGACATTCGGGCTACCCCACCCTGGGCCCGGATATCTGCGGGCACCCGCTCCAGGGCCATGACGGCGCACGCGCCTGCCTCCTCTGCAATTCGAGCTTGCTCGGCGTTGACGACGTCCATTATGACGCCGCCGCGGAGCATTTGGGCCAGGCCCACTTTGACGGAGAACGGCGATTGCTTGCTCTCAGCGATTGCTCCATTTCCGTACACAGCCACCACGCCGGAACCCGCCATTTCTAGAGGGAGATAGAGAGAGAGTGAAGGTTCTAGAGAAGGAGGCGAGGGTGGCGAGGGTTTTGGGAGGGGAATGGATTGGAGGGATTTATATAAGGTGGCGTTTGAATGGTTCTAAGAAAGAGGGGGTGGGTGCCACGCGAGGTCAGGACCCGTGGGCTTAGAAGGTGGGGTTGGGCAGTGTGTTTAATGAGGACCGTTTGATTTTCTTGTTATACAGAAGTCTCGATTGATGGTGTGAAGTATGGTGATCGGACGGTGGAGAGACTGGGAATCGAGAATTGGTAGTATGAAGATACCCACTTGGTTGGTAGTTTGTTAGACTCCAGGCCACGCATTTTAATGTGCCGAATCGTTTTGCAACGTGTTAACTGAAGTTTCCAGTCGTTGGTGATAAAAACGTAAGACTCTGACTGTGCAGATCGTAGGAATTATAATTATATTTTTCTACAGAATTTTGTATACAAATATATTAATTAATTACAGAAAGAAATGCAAGTAATAAGTTTTCAATCTCAACGGTCCAAACTCCAAACCCTCAATTCATTTCCTCACAACCGTTGCATCTACCGGTCTCTTTCAGCCACTTTATATATGAGGTGGAAATTAAACTTTGCATTAAGGTGTAAAGGGCATTTCTATATAAGGATTTGTATTTGACAATAAAAATACATTTGCTATAAAAAATAGAAAACTTTAGATTCAATGTATAGCTAGATGTAATATATTTGGAATGAATTTCAATTCACTCATTGTATATAGTCATTTCATTTTCATTTGTTTTCTTCATTTCGTTGTTTGACATATAATAATCTAAAATATTGCATTACAACTTTATAATGTCATATAAATCCTTAGATTCATAATAATTTCGTGTATAAAACGTGAATATGAAATGAAAAACTTCAGGTATATAATTAAATATCTCTTGCCAGTTGGTAAGTAATTTTTTATACGAAATATGAATGTGAGAAAACTAAGTCTTCAACGAAAATCACAATGGTCATATTAAAATGGACACATTGATTTATAAGGATTTTCTTCAATTATGATTTAGAAAATCTGAGAATTTGATAATTTGATAATTTGATAATTTGAGAGAGAGAGAGAGAGAGAGAGAGAGAGTTGAGGGGCTGAAAGCTAAAGCTATTAGGAGGAGTAATCCAACTTCTCAACAAGTGCTTGTAAATTTTTACTTTTATGACTTGAGAACAGCACTTTCACATCATCATGCCTGAATAAAAATGTATGACTATAAATTATAGTAAGGGACTAAGGTTAAGGAGGCAGTTATGGGCTGCAGAGTTGTAGAGCATCTTTTTACCACATTTTCTGCCCTCAATGCGAAGAACTCAAGGTGGGGGAGGAGGCGGCGGCGATTAGCATTGGCCATAGAAGAGGCGTCTTCAACTTGGCCATTAGCATTATTTAACGTTATCTTTTTCTGCTGGATTTATTGGGAGGGGCATTTAGGACGACTTCGTTTATTGGACCGTCTCTTTCACCAGGGCAAAGACTGACAAAAACGAAATCTTTGTTCTACTTCGGTCTTTTACTGTTCATTGATGCAACCTACTTTATTCATTTATGCTGAACTGCAATTTTTCTACGACTTCAATTTTGATACTGTGGTTATATTTTTTTAACTTTTTTTGGGTCAAAGGTAGGAAGGAGAGGTGTAATTCACACATGCAGGTGTCATGGGAACTTAAACTCAGTATTATTTGGGAGCATATCAAAAACATGAGTCAATTCAACTAACACCCTGTTGATTTTTTTTACAAGCAATTTTCGTAATTACAATAGTTCACAAGATAGATTCCAAATTTTCAATTTAAGGGAGCCTCATGAGATTTCTGAAAATTAAGAGATTGAATCTCAAAGAATTTGTAGTTTTTGTTTTTAACTCCAAGTTTGGGATTTATACGTCTCATTTGAAAATCAAACAAGGCTAGAAACATGATTTTCAACTATCCTGGGTGAAAATCGTGGGTTTAAACAAGTTTTTAGTTGTGATCTGAAGCTCATTTGAGAGAAATTTCATAACTGTCCTTATAATTGCTAATAAAACTAAACACAATGACCAAATTGACAAAGAAAGTTCTTTAAATTATCCTTAGATTCATGAAACCAGGTTTTACAATCAGTTATTTTTCCTTCAAATCAACAAGGTCTCGTGACAAATTGAGTTCAATTTCAGTCACAGAATAAGATACATAAATTTGTCGACGCACTCAGAAAAAGTGGTTAACCAAACAATATAGTAATATACATCAACAACATTATTACCATTGAAGATTGACATAGAAACCCAAAAAACTGAACCCAACCAACAACGTGGGGGTAAAGAATACACTTTTGAATTACTTATCCTATTCTGGCGTATTGAGGCTCTCTATAGCCGGAAATCATATTACATACCGGAAAGCCACTGAAAAACCACAAGGCATGGCCAATCCACACTCAGAAACTACCCTGGTAACCGGCTAAAATTAGCTTCACCAGTTCTATTGACAGGCAGTAAAGTGATGGCGCAAACCAGTGTTACATGGAGCTGTGTATTACTTAAACTGTAAAAATCTTCCTCACCTTCTTTATGTTTCTACGACAAATTGGACAAGTAGCAGCTGCCTCCGCTATCCTGGGAGAATGGAAACAAGTAATCAATCAATAAATTGGATTCAAATAACAAAATGAGGAACAGGCCAAATATGATGCCTGAATCACTGGTTACTAGTATTTTTAAAAGCTCATTGGATGAGGCTCTTCCGAAATCAGAACTTTGTATGGCCTAATCAACAACTGGCCTTGTCAACTGTCACAACTAGTTTGGACTTGTTGCTGGCCGAAGAATAGAGTAACTTCACAATTACATATGACATAGAAACAGTAAAGAATAACACCTTGTTGCGCAATCGAAACAAGCCACACAGTGCCCGCAGGGAAGGAAAAAGCAGTCCCTAGGAGCATCAAAACAAATTGCACAAAGACGACGAGTATTATTACTTTCACCATCTCTTACTGACTTCCCTTCAAGAGAACCTGCTGCCAGAAAGTCTTCAAGATCCCCCTCATCATTTGAGGCAGAGTCATACAATGAACCCCAACTTGATTGATCCTCATCTTTGTATGAAAGCAATGGGGCTCTCTCAGATCTGAAATCCTCCTGTTGTGCTCTTATTCCATCTTCATTGGTACATCGGAACTTGTTCAAGAAGTTGAAGGCCACTAACATGAGTACCGTCATCCCACCTAAATGCTAGAAAATTAAATATTGTACAAGATTGATACATAAAGGTTCCATTATGAGAAGAAATGGGAGAATGAGTCTACCTATACCAACAATATAACTGGCCCATCTCGGTCCATAAGACAGTTTGACATACTGGTTTGCATTAGGTATATCCTGGGGCAACCAAAAGAAATGTTCGAGTAAAGGGTAAGAACCAAATGAACACAAGTTTCCCAGGGTGACATCTTCTTCTGATAATCCACTAGATTACAGCCTTACCTGCTCTGGACCAGGAGATGTTAATACAGCTGCATTTCCATTGGGAAACAAAATTTTCAAACTACAGGATGCATCCTTGAAAGAACACTTGTAATAAGCTGCACTTGTATTGTACAATAAAGCATTCATTGTGAAGTTCAAATGCACCTGTTCAATGCAAAAATAAACCAAAGTGAATAGTATAAATGGGTGGGAAGATAACATCAAACAGCCACAATATTCTTGAATGTAAGATAATAGCATTAGGAAAATGGGAAAATAGAGACCCTTATGAGGAATACTCTCAAGCCCTCATGTCATTGTGAAACTCTTTCATCCCTAAATCAGGATATACACGTCTTATAAAGAACAATGTTTTGCATTTTTACTCTCACTCAATCTGTAATGCACTCACTTTAGCTGTATGCTGGGGTTATGGTCAATAACCACTAGAACAGACTCAACGTTACAGTTACAAGGATTGCATCAATTATTTTATTCCAAACAACAATGAATCCCATAAGTACTATTTCCCAATATAGCTTTTTAAGTGGATGAGCACACACCATAATAAAATAAGAGGAAAAAAGTGTATAATGGATACAAATTCCAAGGTCATAGTTCGACAATTACCTCCACATCCTCTGTGTTCAAGTTACCCACAGAAACATAGTAACTGGAAGACTTTGATATGTCCTGCTCAATCATACCACTTCCTGTGAAGAAGCAAAAATTGACATTAGTGTAGCACTTGTTTTGAAAAAAAATAAAATTGAAGATCATATTCCTGAATTCAAGTCTCACCTTGAATGAGGTTCCATGATAAAGTAGTATTAGGATATGTCGGTTCTTCAAGCCATTGAGCGAGACCTTCTTTACCTGAAATGCGCTAGCTTCAGAATGCTATGAAGGTCGAATGCATTTTTCAATCAGTTAAAAAAAGTTGCATGAAAAACTGCAGAGAAGAAAAGTTTCAAATAATTCCTACTGCTTAAAGTAAAAGGAAGTGGTGCAGCAAGAATAATAGGTCCCTTGTGTGGCTAATTATGACTTTAGCTAGGAAAATTGCTCTGCAATATTGGTTCACTTATGTGGCATGCTATTTATAGAATCGCATTTCTAGACATCAGTTTGAGTGGAGGGGCAATGACTGCATAGGAGCCAAGCAATTTGTATTCCAATTGCCTCAATAGCTCGCTACACTATTCAAAATATACTCAAACTTATGTGAAAAGGACGGATGAAGATATTAAATTTTCATTGCTGTAATAATATTTAAGAAGTGTAACTAGCATGGACACTTCTAAAGTGAAGAGCAAGCTATAACTTTGGATGGGAAAAGAAACGAAATGTAGGTAGGTACATACCTTGAGCGATAATAAGAAAAACAGAGGAGTACACGCTGTATGATATACTTATTTGAGACCCCCCATTTAGGAAATATATCCACTCCTGAAGAAGAAGCAGAGCAAATTATCAACCAAATCAACAACAACTAGAGGATAAAAAAAGACTACAAACTATGAGAAAACGAAAAGAACACTGCATAAAAAGAATTTTAAGCAAACTTGCCTGATGAGAATCAGCTGGAACGGAGACAGTATGTGTTTCTGACCAAGTTGTCTCAGTATCAAGAGGAGGAGTATTATAGAAACCATAGAGTACAGGACCAGGACTTGATATATTCACCTCTTCTACCTAATAAATGCCCACCAAAAAACCCACCTAGATTACCACACAGAATCATATAGGTAAAATGGAAAATGGTAGAGCTAGTGTCAAAAATACCTTTATAGACTGCACAAATATGGGGTTAGGTTGCAGAAGAATTGAACTATTAGGGCCTAGCTCTAAACTTGAAGACCCATACACTCCCAAAATCAAAGTCATCGAAACTGCAACATCCAATTAGCAGCTTAATTACGAATAATAATCGAACAGAAAATAACAATATGTTAAAAACATAGTTAATTTGAAAGTTAAACATAGATACAAACCAAAGAACCAGAAGGTGAGGAGGACGATGATGCAGGACCACGTGTCGTCCCTAATGATTGTTGACACCTCATCGAATGGCGATAGGTTTGCTCCATAAGAAGTGCCGATTTCGTGGGTTTCTACCTCTGGATGCCGAAAATCGGTGTGCTGCTGATACTGATTGTGATCGTCCTCCTCTTCGCGGACCTGCGAAGCGCTTGAAGACGACGTCGCAGCAGCACCTGAAGTGTCCCTACTGATGAAAGCACCGTGAGAAGAAGATGAGGAGGAGGAAGAAGAAGATGGTTCTTCCATTGTAGAGAAACCAGAAAAGCGCGGGACTCAAAGAGAGGGAGAAATTGGAGAAAGTAATTTCAGAAACCCTAACCCTAAACCAGGGTGAAGGGTAACGCACCTGAGAGGGTCTGAGGAAGAAGGTCCATGGGGAGGCGGGTGAGTAACCGATCCACTCACCAATCAGTCTTTCTTCTCCGTTGGAATGGTAGTTGCCAAAGAGTGACGGTTTCTGAAAACACTTATGTTAGCTGTAGCTCCAGCCAATAAGATGGCGCCAAATGGACCAATGGGGCTTCACTTGCAACCTTTGTTTTTTGGTCAACGAGTAAAAATCAAGAAAATGTGTTTAGGTCATTATGCTATTTCATCCTCTCTTTTTTGGGCGAAAGAGAGGAAAAATTGCATTGATGATCAGTTTGACATTGTTGTGCTGTGAAAATAATTATTGTCATATTTATTGTGAGAGAAAACAATTTGATATTTGGTAAATTTTTTTTGTTAAAAGTATTGTTGGTACTGATTCCAGCATAATCAGTAAATGATTGCGGCATAATCATTAAACCCAGCACTTCTTCAAAATTGATTCCTATATAATCAGAAAATGAAAGCACCAAGCTTTCCCTTATAACTTTCTCTCACAACAATTTTGAACAATAAATGATTTTCTCATAGTTTACCAAACAAGCTAGGCTTTCCAAAAAAATTAAAATATCACTTATCACCCCAAATAAGGCAATGTCAAACGTGCACTGAATAACATTGTCAATTACAGATAATTGGAACTTCTAAAGCCCTCCTAACAAGGAGGGTTATCTAGTATTATATTACAAGCACAAAGGCCAGAAACAATGAGCCAAATAAAATACATGGAACTTATCTTATTAGAAGCCAATCATATAAACAAGGAGAGCAGAATTCTCATGTAAAATCAGTGTCAAATCAGTTTGTTCAACTTTCTGGTTTTGTTGTATTTTAAATGCAAGCAATATTAGGAGAGGGGAAATCGAACATAGGATTTCGAATGCATAGATAAATATTCTTAGCCACTTGAGCTACAAGCCCCTTACAATTTTTCTGGTTGAATCATGGCAAAATATATATATTATGATTAAACATGTGAAAAATACTATTATATAAAGAGCTAGTTAATAACTTGTTTTAATTGTTAGTTTCTTCTCTATTAGAAAAAAAAATATGGACTAACTGATCTAATCTTTATTTCTCACTGCGTGCATAAGAGCATCTCCAACTGATATGTCAAATGTGCCACATAGACATTTAACAACTAAAAATGGCATCTCATATCACTCCAACCAATATGTCAAAGCTAATGTGGAATGAATGCTGGAGGTTGAGATGTTATTTTTGACATCCCAAAAGCAAGATGTCAAATAAATATTTTATTATTTTTTCTTTTCTTTTCTTTTTAATTAAAAATGAATCAACATTAAAATGTAATAAAATAATAATTTAATTTGACAAATCGGGTGGAGTGTAGAGTTGTGTAAGATGTCAAATTGCCACATCAGCCATCAAATTTAAATTTGATGTTTGGTATTTGACATCTCCCTAAGAGCATCTCCAACCGATGTGTCAAAAGTGCCACATAGACATTTAACAGCTAGAAATAACATCTCGCATAACTCCAACCGATATGTTAAAGCTAATGTGGAATGAAGGCTGGAAGTTGAGATGTTATTTTTGACATCTCAAAAGCAATATGTCAAATGAATATTTTATTATTTTTAAAAGATAGCTGGTTGTTACTCTCATTTATTATTTTCTTTTTTTTATTATTTGCTTCTTTATCTTAAATGATTTGACTGTTACAATAATTATTTATTTGACATATCGGGTGGAGTGTAAAACTGTCCAAGGGAGATGTCAAATACCAAACATCAAATTTAAATTTGATGGCTGATGTGGTAATTTGACATCCTGCATAGTTTTACACCTCACCCGATATGTATAATTAAAATATTATTTTATTACATTAGTGTTGATTTATTTATTACTTTCTTAAATGAATGTATTTTTAAATTTTAGTATTAAGAGTAATTCATTAATCAAGTTAAAATACTTATAAATTAATTATAAAATGTAACATAAATACAATTAAACAAAAAAAATCATCCATCTCCACTTTGGTTGATGAAAAGAACATAAAAAAGATCAACATAAATTTTCAACGGCAAAAATTTCAACAATATAGTAGTGTCAAGTGATAATAACAAAGGAAAATAATTAAAAAGAAAAATAATAATGAAAGCATATAATGATAGCAGATGCATGAAATAGTAACAAGAAGAAAAAAAATATATAGATAAGTATTAAATGAATGATAAAGCCACAACCAGATGGGTAAAGAAATAATAAATTAATCAAAAGACGTCTCCAGCACTTGACGACAATTTTGACAGCAGAGGCTTCACACGCCAGTCCACGTAGACTATAGCTGTTTGGTTGGAGTAAATTTCAGCTGTTATTTTTATCCGTTAAAAGTGCCACATATGATTTGACATCTCCTTTGAAGATGCTCTTAAGAGTAAGTATTTTACGACTGAAGCTAAGTGTGTCGAGTAATTCCACAAACCCGAAAGAAGCAATTGTCAAAATATTTTGACTTGGAAAAGGGGTAAAGTTAATTGTCCATTGGTGGTAAATTAAAGATACCCTTACGAACCAATGAAACATGTTGGCGCGGTTGTTCTCGACTAAATTGTTTGTTAAGCAATTTCAAGTAATAGAACGCACTTAAAATAAGACCGCCTTGAAGCCTCCAAACCAAAGGGAGAAAACGACTGGAACCTTCTATAGTTTGATAATACTAAAGAGCAAACCAGTGAACGAGCTTCCACCAAAACTGAACCTCCTAATTTTATTGGTGGTGATCGCAACGTTAACATTTGAATTAAAAATAGCCACAAGAATATTCCACCATTCACATATATAGCCATAAGCAAAGTGCATTAATTTGACTAAACAGAGCTACAAAGACGCCATTTAAATTCGAGGCTTGCAATTTTTTATTTGTATGAGACAGCTGCGTAGACAAATGAAGGAAAAGAGCAAAGATCTTCGATCTTTCTTCGAACAACACGGATGGAAGGTCGTCGGCGTTTGCAAGAAGGGGTGGTACAGAATCCGGACCAACCTCAAAATATAAGGTCTAGTATGGTGATTACTTATCTATTTCTTCTCCATCGGTGACTTGGGAAAACAAGGTCATGGATCGATGCCATATTTCTTTTCATTTCGCTCATTTCATAACAGTTAAGATTTTTAAGGGGTGCAATGATTGTCTAACATGATATTAGGGTTTTAGTTGTAGGAGTCACAGGAATATAATGAGACCTCTGATGTCCAATTCTTGATTGATCCCTAGTTGTTTATCAATTTGTAAAGAGTAAGGTTATACCTGTATACTTTCCTCTCACTTGAGGGGCTTTAGTTTCTGGTGTCTAATGTGTACTGTTGTTTATAACAATACGGTGGATGTTTTTTGAATGATAGACAAGTTTTATTTTGAGAATAATGATAGACAAGTTAATGATTTCAGAATGTTGTAGTATTGTCCCATGCAAAATGCAAGCAGTTGTTCTATTGATTTACACCTATAACACAACAATGAGCCTACGTTAATTAATTTCATTTGTTTAGCAATGTTTAGATGGAGGAGAAATCTAATAAAAGGAACTTAGAGAGTCGACATAAGTCAGCAATAAAATAATGCAGACAATCCATGCCAGAACTTTGTGTGTTGCACATGGAACACTTGTCTTTATGCATTATTGATCATATATATATATTTTTTCTTTATATTAAAAATGTATACTTAAAAGGACCACGCAAAGGATCCACTAGCGTAATGGTTTGAAGCAATTGCTCCTCCAAGAAGGTTCTGTTGACAAGGGCGGAGCTGTACTAAGGCCTGGGATGGCCCTGACCCTTCCAATTTATTTAACCCTTTTGAATGTATATATTGGTAACAAATGCAAAGAAAAATTGATATACTTAAGCCTATGGCCCCCTCACCACAAATCAATACTTGTCAAAGTGGGTCAATTGATGGGGTACAATTAAACCCAAATCAAACAAAAACCTCCAATTGAATCAAAATCAAACAAACCCCAAATTTAAATAATAATAATAAGGTGACCAATGTGTAATTGATTGCACATGTGACCCACTAAAAAGTGGTCCCACATGAAGAGGATTATTGAAGAATACACACAGTCCTACATCAGAAACTTAACAAAATAGAAAGTCTCATATAATGAATAGCTCTACTCCTAATAACATCGAGACCTTTTGTATTCATGTAGTATACTATCGCATCTCTCAATAGGAATAGTCTTAAAAAAAAAGATCATATAATTTGGTGCAATAAATATATAGTTCAAGTGATTAAGAGCATTTAACTTTGCTTTTAAGGTCCTAGAATTGATTTTCTCCTCCCCTCCCCCAATATCACTTGTATAAGAATATAAAAAAAACCTAAACAACCAAAACTAATTACTATATTCCAATCTTAATTTTGACCCCAACTTCAAAGCCTAAAATTGAAAAAGAAGACAGCAAACATCCTTTGGTTATAAAACCACATTTTCACTTTTTTTAGTTATGAAAAAATGAAACGGCATATGGATTCAAAGCGTGAAAAAGTATCCAACTTCGAATTCAAAGCCTAGATGAAAGAGAGCAACAACAGCATTTGGTTATTATGAAAACACATTGTAATTTATTTTGGAGTTGTTATGACACGTGTTAACTAGAACTATGCAGATCACACTAACCCATTGATCAACCAACAAAAGAAACAGTCCACTCTCTCCAGAATGTCACTAATTCTTCCATGTCAACTACTTTTAGCTAAGCTCGGTTTGGTAAGTTTAGAATAGGTTAAGGTGGTATAAGTAGCTAGATTCTCAAGACCATATACGAAAACATCGTACGAAAAAGAAACGAGTACTCGGAGAAGGTATGCAGTGCTCTCCTCCCATCTAATTCAAATATTTTTCAATCAAACGGGAGAGCTGCGCAGGAGCAGGCTAAGTAGAAGATGGAGAAAATGAAAATGGTGAAGGTCGTCTCCATGTGCAAGAAAGGATGGTACACAATTCGAACCCGTCTCAAAATATAAGAAGCCAAGCCGCATGTATGGGCTTAGTCAAGTTAACTAGAGTGGATGTGCTCTCTATTCTATACTCAAGTTCGAATCCCCTATTTGTAATTTAAATTAAATTAAAGTAAAATATCTCTTGTATAAAAATAAATAAAAGTCAAGTCATACACCAGCCTTTAGAATCCGGATTTCACATATTTTTATACTGATTGGTTGATTTATTTTGTCCATTTGGTGAAGCAAAAAGTCATCCCCTGCCGTTTTGAAAATGCACAAGAGAAATGTCATATATAACATTCAAATAACACTATACACATTGGAACTGTTAATTGGGATTAGCATTTTGTCGCTTTTGCAAAATAGAGAGTTCTTGAGAAGTCCCAATAATAAAACTAAAACAAAGCATAAATTATATCAGTAATTGAAGGTTTTAAGGCTGTAATCTTTCTTTGATGAAAAATTATATTCTGCCTATCACAGAAATCTTGAATTTTATGATAAATAATCATATTGAAATTTGGAACCAATATAAACACAATCATATTTTGTAGCATATTTTATTCAAATGAAAAATATGTGCATTATTATTTTTAATGAAACTTTTATATAATCTTGGTACACTATGTATATATACAGCAAAATGTAGAAAATGGTGAAACATGAAAAATACGAGAAAATGCTATTGGTTAATGCAAACATTAAGAGCTGAAATTATTAATTAAATGAGGATAATATGATAAATTCACACTTTTTATATTAAAAAATAATTAAAATTAAAAACAAAATTAGATATATATATATATTTGGTCATAAAACAAAATTAGATAATGAGTATTATTTTTATGGAACACAACTATCAATTATTTTTTTAACTTCTAAAATAAAATTAAAAAATCAATTAACAAATGCGTGAGCATGTTCCAAAGGGCTAGTAAGATAATTACGCTCAATCTTGTGTTTGATTATCAAAATTTTCTTACAATGTGGCTATTAAAATTATTTTTAATATTTGAAATATTGAGATCCTAAGGATTGTTTTTGTAATTTATCTTTTTCATTTAAAACAAAAAAGAGAAGAGATTAAAAATAAATTAAAGACGGTCCCACTTTTTAGTTTAACATTCTTGCATTGAGGGAAGTCACGCGCTTTCTTCGCCGCGGAGCTTACGAGCGATTCTTACATGTCTCGAACCGGCCTCGCCTTAAGTTTGACAGCCTGTTTGATGTTTGTCACAGACAAGCTCTTCATTTTACATTGAAACCCCCAAACCCTCGTCCCTTGCAGCCCTTATTCAAAGCGTAAATAACGAACTCTAAAAGGACAGAAATGTAATTTCAAACTCAAACATCAAAACGGACCTACTCTCCCTTCCCAACAAACCACCTCACCGGAACCAAGCCTCCCCTTTCCCCTTTCTCTCCCTCAACGGCTTAACTCGCCTGCATTTGTTCGAAAACAGCACGGATCTACTGCCATACGCGGACGCGCGTTCAAATCGCAAACCCTAATTTCTGAGACCCCTTTTGATCTCTCCGATTCGATTTGATTCGAATCGAGAGCTGAGGAAGCGATGGGCGATTTCAACCTCGCGCTCGTCATCGTCGCCATTATCCTCTGCGTCATCGTCTTCGTCTTCAATGTCTACCTGCTCGTCAATTACCAGCACCCCGACGACAAGAACCAGGCCTACTTCCCCAAATTCGTCGTCGTTTTGGGGCTCTCCGTCGCCGCGATTTCCATACTGATGTTGCCGGCCGACGTGGCGAACCGTCAGGCCTGTCGCCACGCGATATACAATGGAGCGTGTAATCTCACTCTGCCAATGAAGGATATGTGGCTCGCCATCTATATCCTTGACGCCGTGCTTGTGTTCTTCATCATCCCCTTCGCTATGTTCTACTACGAAGGAGACCAGGACAAGTAGGTACTTCTAGGGTTTTTGATTGAATCTATGCACATATGATGTTTGTGTTTATTCAGCATGCCATTGTTGATTTGTAAAAATTGGGTGTGCGTTTTTGTGTTCAGGAGTGTTGGAAAACGGATTAGAAGCGCGTTGTTGTGGGTGGTGGTGACTGCCATTGTCTGCGCGCTCGTGCTTGGCATCTTATACGGTTAGTTGTCTTCACTGGTGATTTTCACAGGAACCACTTTGATTGCACTGAAAGAATTTTTTCTGTTTATGGCTTTATGAGTGTTTGGTTATCTTTTGATTCTTTGTGGAACATGTTTTGTTAGAACACTATGGATTGTGTATCATTGGTTTACTCTTCGATTGTATATCAGGGCTAGTTGGGAAGGTGGACTTTACTGTTAGGCATCTCTCTTCTTCCACAACTTCCTTTCCTAGTTCATGGAGCTTTTCTAGCAGTCAAGAATGTATAAGTGGCTCACATCAGGTTTGACCTTGTTCATTGGAATTTTCTTATACTACGAGTATCTATACTCTTGCTCATTTTGGTGCTTTCTTTGTCTCTGGCTTCTATTGTCCCTACAGTGCTCTGCATATTCTGCCAGTGATTCGTCAGAGAAAACATGGACAATGCGTACTACCTTTCCAGAATACGTCGTTGCTCTTGCTACCATTGTTGGTTCTGTGCTTTTCACTGTAAGTTCATTCTTGGAAATCTTGACATATTTATGTTGTTATCGAATCTGCCTGTGATAATGGGGGTCCCTAGTCAATTTCAAGAAAATGCTTCTCAGGAGTTGATTAGACTGCCCTTTTTTTTGGGTGGCAAGATTATGTATGTACATACATCTATGTATGTATGTATGTCTGTGTATAGTTAAATATATATATATAGACATTGTATTTCAGCATCTTATTTTTCTATAGTTAAAAAATTACCCTCCTCCTGTATCATCCAGATATTTGGTGGTGTTGGCATTGCCTGTCTCCCTCTGGGACTCATATTTTCATTCATCCAGCGTCCAAAGGCTGTTATTACCCGGTCACAGTATATCAAGGTACTACTTTTTTGTCTATCATGTGTGTTAAGTTTAAATGATGAATATTGTTGTGATTTCTTATGTGTGGTTTCTCTTGTACACTTTAGGAAGCCACTGAACTGGGTAAGAAAGCAAAAGAATTGAAAAAAGCAGCCGATGCACTCCATCAAGAAGAAAGAAGTGGTTCCAAGGGTAGAAAATGGCGTAAAAATGTGAAGGCAGTAGAGAAGGTATATTTAACACTCCAAGTCTAAAGTTTAGTCACATTTAGGCACCAGCTTTTGTGTTTGCTTTGGTGCATGCATCATTTAACCTAATTGGAAAGGGAGTGCATGTACTGTGTTGGATCCTTTGTGCTCCAAGCATTAGCTATGAAGCTTCAATGGATGTCAAAAAATTCCTTTGGAAAAATTGAATTTATTTTCTGAAATAATGATGTTTGCCTTTGTATGTGCTGTTATTGAAAGTTATTTTACGTTTGCTAATGGCTTAACTGTCTCATTACAAAAAAGTTGATGCTTGCTTAACCTTGCAGGAGTTGCTTCAATTAGAAGAAGATGTAAAACTTCTAGAGGAGGTGTATCCTCAAGGAGAGAAGGTAAAGGGCATTACACATGTGACTTCTTCACTTTCTATATATCAAACTATTTCTCCCTTTTATTTCTAATCTTCTTGCCTCACTTCAGGCTGAGACTAGTTGGGCTATGACTGTTCTTGGGTACTTGGCGAAGCTTGTGTTGGGAATTTTAGGGTGAGTGCTGTTGTTCCATTTAATGCTGCTTTAAATAGTTTTGGCTTCTTGACTTGAGAGTTGAGCTGGGATGGATATTTGGAAGAGTAAAGTTTTAGATAAGGAAGAAGCAAATATGAAGTAAATATGAAGCCAATAGCAGTATCAAAATCTTGCAGCCAATAGGAAATCAATAGAATTCAGTTCAAGAGCCATGGTGCATGTGAAAATATCTGATTGTGTTTAGGTAAATATGAAGTAATTGCCTTTTGGTGTATGGGTTTCAGTATGGTCTATTTTTGTTGGTGCTTACTGTAGGTAGCAATGTAAATAGATAGCTAATGTTGTAACAGTTCTATAGCTTGGGGTCAAGAATGCATTTTTTAAAGATATGATGTTCATTCATGGTGATGTTGTAGTATGTGGACTGCCATGGTTTTCCTTTTTCTTGTGTGTCATCATTTTCTAAGGATCTTGACAAGATTTATTGACATAAAAAACCTTTTGCCTGTGTTTTTCAGATTGATTGTCTCAGTGGCCTGGATTGCTCATATCGTCATCTATCTATTGATCAGCCCACCGCTTTCTCCTTTTTTGAATGAGGTTTTCATCAAGCTGGATGATATATGGGGTACTTTCAGAATATATTTCTCTTGCCTCTATGTTGTTATTATTCTACGTAACGATACGATTTTGATATGCTTATTATTCTCCACCAGGTCTTTTGGGAACTGTTGCATTTGCGTTCTTCTGCTTTTACCTCCTCCTTGCAGTCATTGCTGGGGCCATGATGCTTGGGATGAAATTAGTTTTCATTACTATTCATCCAATGAAGTAATGATTTTTCCATGTTAGCCTTATTTATTCAATAATGCTTGTATAGACCTTTAAATTTTTGCCCCCAAGAGGTTTGGTTGCTCATAAATGTAATTTACTTGTTTCAGGTGGGGAGCGACTCTTATGAATTCATTTTTATTTAACGTGGGACTTATTCTCCTTTGCTCCATCAGGTTAGTATCTTTTATCCTTTGTGCTTCTTATTACGTGCTAGATGAAGTCTGTGCACGGTCATGGTTCCCTTTCTGAAGATTTTTTGAGATTGCAACTGTAACTAATGTTGAATTCCTTTGTTTCAGTGTGATTCAGTTCTGCTCCACAGCATTTGCATACTATGCTCAAGCAACTGCAGCCCAGGAAATATTTGGTCACACATTGCAATCTCTTCGTGGAATAAGATATTTGTACAAGTGAGTTCTTTTCTTTGCACTGATTCATTCTGATTAGACATGTACGTTTACTGATTTGCCTATACATTTTGGTGTTGCATTACAGGTACAATGTGTTTCAAATTGCATTTATTGTCCTGGCGGGTTTGACCTTCGTGTACTATGCTGCCTTTGTACGTCTACAAACCATATATTCTTGTTCGGTTTATTTGTCTTCTTCTACGTGCTTCTTAAAGTAATGCGGTTTTTGTTTGTGTTCAAAATTTCAGGGATGGAGAAGAAAAAAACCAAGTGGCAGGTTCCAACTTTCCTCGTAATTCATGTTTTGTCTAGAACAGCGTGCACCCACCTGGAGCTTTTGGGGTTCTCAGTTTTATCATCTCTTTTCGGAGTGGTTTTCTTGGATGTGCATGGCCTAGTTTTTGATATATATTGAAAGGTTTCGGTTGAGTAGGCAGAGATGTCATCCGAGTTTGCATTGGGTTTTAGTGGAGGGGGAGTGGCACCGCTTTTTCTGCTTGTATTTCCCCCTTTGTATGTATTAATTCCTTCATTTGACCTTTTGTGTTATAAAATTGGTTTGGGCTTGTAATCGTGTTAATCCTTTGCACACTGGGAAACTGGATGTCTAGAACTACCCTTGATGTAACATAACCATTCGGATCAAATTATTGTATGAGCAGCCATATTTAGTTTCACATTTGTGGACATGTACCTACTGCCACATCATGTTCTCCAGAAGTAAACTAGGGTTTCAAAGATAATCATTTGCCAAAACTCCTCTGACGATTTAGAATGGCATTTGTAATTCTGACAAGAGTCTTTCAGTACAAATGCAATGCCGAGGGCTTGGAAGAGCGAGAGTTGAACTCTTTTCTCTGAGGAGAGGTTATTAAATGGTTTATGGCCATTAACTAACATGCATAATTGTATCTTAATTGTCGCTAAGTCCCCAATGGATTAGTGCTTGAGCAACGCTGTGATCAGCAATGTTCAAAGTTGTTCCATCACCACAGGGAGGGTCATAAGGCGAACTCTCTGCAAATTCTGTTGGCAATGACTTCCAGTGAAGGCTGGGTTCCCAGTCTGCTTCTCTAAGGACCTTCAGTATCTCCTCCACCACAATCTTGCTCCCCGCAGCTGAAAAATGGATTCCATCCCTGGACGATGGTCGATCCAATTGACCAGACCAAATGGTTAAGCGAAGGATTTAATCTTTGATCAAGCTGAGTTTATAGAAAATAGATGTAATTAATTGGAAGCATAAACTAAAATATGAAATTGCACGTACGTAAAGCAAGCAGTTGACCAGTCTTTTCTCCTCTGAATTGAAGTCCACAGATCAACAGCCTTGACATCTAACTCTCGGCAGACCTCTAAACAAGCATCTGAGTAGATTTTGCAGGACTCATTTGTTCGATTCCGCTCGGGAATTATGTCTCTGATTTTGGTTATAAAAAAAAAGGAAGGAACAGAAAAGAGAAAAGCTCCTGAGAACTCAGCAAAAGGAAATGAAGAAAGAATCACAAATCATCACCATATAAGCACCTTAAATTTTCAAGAATTTGTTCCTCATTGACAGGAGGAGCAGTGAGAAAGATAATGCGAATTTTTTCTGAAAGGCTCTGCCAACCAAATGTATCTGTCACTGTTAGAATAATATGCATTGCACATAAAACAAGTTGTTCATATAAATTTCATCCATCTGCATATATATATATATATATATATATATATATATATATATAAGCTGAGATGATGAGAGATTATTTTTACCTTTAGATATTTACCAATCTTCCTCATGTTTTCTACATATTCAGGAAGCGGTACATGAGGGCCTAAGCCTGATGAATGAGGCAGCATTGAATCATTGCCACCAAAATAAACTATTACCAGAGATGGCTGAATTGCTGCATCCTATACATGTCAAATATAATTACACAACATCAGCAACAAACTACGGCCATGTTTGGTGCATAGGATTTCAGCTAATGCACAATGTTTGAGTTTGAATTCACTATAAATGTACAATACCTTGGGAAAAACTTGCTCTAGAACCTGAAGAGCACGCCTCGAGTTCCAGCCGGCATATCCTCGCAGCACTACGTCCGCCTATCCCCGAAATTTTATAAGATCAGTGATGCCATTAACAAGGAACTTAATATACAGTCTGACATGATGAAAGTTTAGCAGATAAACACATGTAGGCTTTCAGGTTATGTAAAAGAGGGGGGCCCGGGCAAAAGGAAAGCACCCTTGAAAATGAGTTGAGTCATTAATTTGACTGTTTGAATATGCTGTGAAAAACTTTTATCTGATCATTGGTTTAAATCAATGAAAAAAGTTTGTGTATTTTTCATAGAAAGAGACGATTTGACTGTGGCTCATCAGAAGGAAACCCAGGAAATTAAAAAACCTCACAGATAACGCCATGACTTTTGATCATCATGGAATCTTTTCTTTTTTTATTACTTGGTAGCAGTTAAAGCAGAAAACAAAAGTATACGATTTCTTCGTTTATCAGAATTGCGCAAGTGGTGGACCTAGTGGTCCAATATATTTCTTCTTTCTTCTACAAAATCAGAACAACAAGCTCCTAAAAATAAAATAAATAAATATATTGCCTGACGTATTAATTAATTGATTAATTATGAGTTTCACTGTAGCGGCGTAATGAGCACAGCAACAATGAATTATTTTATTTTCTGTGGCTGCAAATTAAGCATGAAAAAGAAAGCTTTCTGGTTCATCAATGCGTGTGTGAGTGTGAACCAAGTCAAATATATGAACAGAGTTAACAAGATCAATGATCATGCATGTAAGGATATCAAAAGCGAGCATGCAATGCATGAATAAAGTAGAGAGATGCGCGTGAGAGATTAAGAAACGTGGAACCCACCACTAAGCTAATTGCCCACGTATGTACCAAGTTGACAACTTAATAAGAAAAAGAAGAAAACAAGAGAGATTAATTTGTTGCTTTGCTCCTTTCTTGTTAATTAATTTTAAAAAAAACCATATATGTTGATCATCATAAACCCCAATCAATAGATATAGAAGCTGAAAACCAGGTTTAGGAAATTAATTAGATTAAGTGAAGTAAGTACCTTACGAGAATACAAGTCAGCAAGAATGGCACCCCAGCCTCCATTGCTGCAACTGAACTGGACGATGGACGAACCAAACAGCACAAACTGCGGTCTTAATGGCCCCACCATCTCTCTCTCTCTCTCTCTCTCTCTCTGGAAAACACAGTTTGGAGGATAAGCTTAGGTATTTGTCTCTCACCTGGATTCTTTGTTTATTTGATGCAATCCCCAATGACGACGAGCACAAACTTATATATAGACCACGTCATGGTCGACGAGGTAAGTGTGGTTCTAATGAATTTACAAAGAAAACCACAAAACATATCAAACACTCTTTTGCCACTTTGGTCAACTCGGTAATTTCATTGTAATTTTCTTGTAACTTCATTGCTAATGACAAGAATCAAACGAAGAGAAAAGATTCCAATTCAAACACGGTTGGGTCATTGGGATAATTTTTTAAAACTAGTGGGGACTTACCAATACTTTCCTGAAATTACAAGAAGAAAAGGAAAATATTCAAAATACTGGGGTTGGTTCTGATATTGTACTATTTTTGTGGGGCAGAAGTTTCATTTTCAATACTTTGTTTTTTTCTCCCCGATCTCCCGAGTAGGTTTGCCTCCTCCTAGCTTCTGTTTCTGAGCAAGAAGAAGACGATGGACATAGCTCTCTTTTCCCCATCTTCACTTTTCCATGACGACGAGGATGACACTTCCAGTGGTTTTATCTCTCTCTCTCTCTCTCTCCAAGGAGCTCCCAATTTTAGCTGATATGGCGAAAATATACTGACTTGGCTTGGCCTTATTTGCAGGTGAGGAAGACACAGAGAGCCAGCAAAGCTACGTCGAGAGGAGGCACAAGTTTCCGGGGATGGTAACTCTATTCCTTTATTTGGTCAATACCCAGAAATGTAAATTTGTCTTTCACTTGTTCTAACTGTTAATCTCTTGTTAATTTGTTAATGTGGTCGTTTACATATATATATATATATATATTATATTTATTTATTTATTCACACTTGTTCTTTCCAGTTTGTTTTGTCACATTTCTTCTTTTTTGTTTTTTCTCTATTTGAAATCAGTTTTTTCTGTTTCTGAGCTTGAATGTTTGAATTTCCAAGTTTTCATATTAAAGTTCTGTGGATGGTGATAAGCAAATGGTTTTGATAGCATATATCAATGGATAAATCAAAAAGCATGTATTAGTTCAATTCCGTACAATCGGATAATTAGGTGCACTCACTTCAGAGAGCAGTAGCTGCTTTTTACTAGAGTTGTTTTGGCCTTTCATTGAACATCCCAAGAGGTTATTTTTTTTGGGCCTGGTTCTTGATTGCTTCTTTGTTGAGTTTGGTACTATATAGTTTGAAGTTCTTTAAACCAATTTATGTAACTTGGTTTGTTTCAGGAGTTGGTCATCCGAGAATTTTCGTTTCATCAGCTGAATGCCAATTTACTCTGGCCTGGGACATTTGCATTTGCAGAATGGTTAGTTGAACACAGGCCGTCGATTGAAGGACGGCATTGTCTTGAACTGGGCAGGTATTTCTAAACTGTGCCACATCCATCTCTGCATCACAAGAATACTTGAATGCTTTTCTTTTTCTCGTTTGTCCCACTTTTAGTGATTGGGGATCCTGAGTAGTGATTGCATCACATGGATACTTTTTTTTCACATGGGGCAAAACCTTGCTTATGTTGTTCTAAAGCTGAACCCCATTCTACTGTCTAGAATTTGTTTTTCTCCGGGAGTTGGTAAGATGCAAACGCCTGGCATCCGTACTGTGTAGTTTGAATAACTTCTCAGGAAAACATTTGTGGAATTGGAGTTAATTTTTAGTTTATGCTTTTCCAGTGTCCTCATTTCATCTTATACCAGACATATGTTTGATATAAATTTTGAGTCTGATTGATATTGATAGTTGCCCTGATGATGTTGATTTGTCTACTGATTGGCAGTGGTACTGGTGCTTTGGCCATTTTTCTACGAAGATTGGTTAATCTTGACATCACTACATCAGACTATAATGATCAGGAAATTGAAGAAAATATAGCTCATAACTGCAGGGTAAATGGAATTACACCTGTCCTTCCTCATATAAAGCGTATGTCATCTTTCATTTCATGTTATAGCATACATATGTTTGAACTTTGATTTACTGTGCCGAAGAAGTTAATTTAGTGGACTTCTAATTGGTTTAGGTTTAAAGGATTTGCTGGGATTTTGTTAAATTCATGCCGTGGATACTAATTTTTCAGATACGTGGGGTGACACTTTCCCTACTGCTGGACCAGACTGGGACCTGATTATTGCTAGTGATATATTGTTGTGTAAGTTTCTCACCAACGTGTTTCAAATATACTTCTTCTAAACGTTGTCCTTGGAGCTGCACATAAAAACAGTATGCTAAGTTGCTAACCATCCTTTTTTTCTCTTGAGTGCGTGCAGATGTGAAGCAGTATGCAAATTTGATAAAAACCCTTTTGTTCCTTCTCAAATCTTACAAGCCGAAGGATAATAAAGCCCGGCCTCAAGCAAAGGACGAGCAGAGTTGCGGTAATATGCTGACAAATTTGTCTGAATTCATGTAGTAGATGTTAAAACTCTGCTCATGTGTATTTACCTCTTGCTCACAGGACAATCATTCAGTTTGCCCCGGCCTGCATTTCTAATGAGTTGGAGACGCAGAATTGGAAAAGAGGATGAATCACTCTTCTTCTCTGGTTGCGAAGATGCTGGTCTTGAAGTAAAGCATCTGGGATCTCGTGTATATTGCATCAAACCAAGAGAAACAACTACCAATGGCGACCAAATAGAGAATAATTAGAAGCTACATTTGGTCGAGAAGTAGCCATTCAAGAATTGATTTATCTGCAGTTGAATCTTTCGTAATTTTTTTTTTTTGATTTTGTAAGCGAAGGTTGTTTAAAAATGGTTTTTGTTCATCTGAATGAAAGGGCGGGAAGGGAGCATGAAAGGTTTTCCAAGAATATCCATCTCTTACTAAATTACTAATAGATGGATGGATGGATGGATAATAAACTCTATGAAACGATATTCTAGCAAAAGCACCCAAAATTAGTTAATCTTAATCCACCAAATTATCACCAACAAATCAAGTAATCAACCCAAAAGCATAGAGATTATGGTGGAGGCCATTGCCAAGTTAGAATGGGAATCTGAAACAACCATCAAAATTGCCTAAAACATAAGGGAGACGGCGGTGGCGGTGGCAGAAGGTCAGTGGATTAACATGTGTTTTTTTTAAATAAAAAAAGTTTAATTTGTTTCTTCTAATTGATTAAAAAAAACACAAATACTTTTGTTTGTTTAGGAATATTTAAGAAATTTACGTGTTTATTTACATGATATGTCACACACAAAGGCAACAATTTCAATCAGATGCATGGCACATGAAACACCTCCGCATTAAACCAATGGCGTGCGTTGGTACTTGGTAGCTTGTTCTGTCGGTTGTTCTTGTAGCCTTTCCTTGTCAGTTTCAACTTCAAGTTCTTCTTTGATTCTCTGAAATGGAAATATGGACTTTTTCTCTCTGTGCCTGGTAAATCGTGTCCACATCTGGCTACCATGCATGGCAATACGTGCCCTGCTTTCATTGCTCAGATGAATTGTAATTCAAAAGGACACTACCTGTTTGGCATTTCCTCATCAAACCCAGTTTGAGCTTGGTGGGTGGCAAGATTTCTACTTAATATATATGTGTGAGCAAATTTCCCCACGAGAATATTCGATTGGAAAGATTCCCCTTTCTTTTTCGCCGCCTATTTCTCCCTGTAAAATAGAACCAATAAGAGGCCAACACCCGGGGGGTGTTGGCCAAAGGCTCTCCGATGCCTAAATTAATTCAAGAGTTTGTAAGAAAAACACTAGCTCATCTAGGGTACGAAGATGTGTTTTTTGTGTAAACCGGGCGGCCGGAGCCTTATGTAAAAGAGAGAGAGAGAGAGAGAGAGGAGGTAGCTAGGGTTTGAGAGGAATTTTCTGCAGAGTTTCAGTAGAGATTTCAGACATACCTCAACCTTTGTGTGTGGCTATCATTTTATAGTGGTCTTTGAGGCTAGGGTTTCAAAGGAATAATTCCGTAGATAGAAGGGAATTATTCCTCCCCTATTTGGAATTGATTTGATTAATTAGGGATTTGATTTATTAGGGTAAATCAAATCCCTAATTGTGGTAGGTCTCAAATCAAATCCCATTTTAATTAGGTAACTCCTTATTTAATTGGGAATCGTGGTAGGAATCAAATCAATTCTCAACCCAATTAGGTAACGTTCAATTTAATTGAGTAATCCCCAATTAAATTGAGTAACTCCCAATCAGGTTTATTAATTCCCAATTAAGTCAAATAATCCCCAAATGAAATGAATTATTTGACATAAGATTTTGATTTAATTTGGTTACCACAATATATACTTTAGTTAATTTGACCCTTAATTGATTGTGGTTACCAGGAAATTAGCTTAATTAATTTAAATTGATTGCAATTAGCTTAATTGGTTTATGCTTCATTGGGTATATTTGCCAAATTATAGTAACTCTTTGCGTTTGGTTTTATCATCTTACCAAGCTGAGATTTTACCAAACCCCACAGAGATAAATTCCATATATACAAATTACAATCAAAGACAAGTTAATGCCAAGGGCCAGAGCTGTTTCTGTGAACAAAAGTAGCTGAACAAAAAAAGTCAGTTTTGCTGTGATACCGACTATGGCTTCCCACCAAGAATGCCTCTTGGAAAATGGCACAAGCAGTGAGGAGGAAGTGCACCATGGCAGGACCGCTAGACAATTGTCGGCTTCTGCATTGCGCAAAAAGTCGGATCCTACACTGCCAAACAGTGTTCAAAATGGACATATCAGGGAGTTGCTTGTTAATCTTCAGGTTGTTCTTCTGGGGACCAAGCTTTCGGTTCTCCTTCCCACCATTCCTCTGTCCATTTTTGCTGTGTACTATGGCTTTGGAAAGGTAAGTGTTTGCTTTCATATTTTAATAAGAAATATTGTATACAATGGAAAATAATATAAAAAATCAGAATTTAGATGACTGATCCTTGTAACCCTTTTCTTTATTTTTCCTTTGACAGCCCTGGATTTTCACTCTGAGCTTACTTGCATTAACCTTACTTGCTGAGCGCATCAGTTTTCTCACAGAGTAAGGCACACAAAAACACAATCAATTAGCCTTTCTTCAAATGCTGCTTACATTAATCATTTGTACTTAAAATTGCAGACAAATATCATACTACACTGGTCCAACAGGTAAATTGTTTTCATTTTACTTGTTAGAATATTTTCAATTACTTAAAGGTTGCTTCAGAATGGGACTGAAGGGCTCACTTTTTATCTGGTTTGTGCAGTGGGAGGGCTCCTAAATGCAACATTTGGTAATGCCACAGAGCTGATTATAGCAATATCTGCTCTACGTCAAGGAAAAGTAGCCTTGCTCAAGTATTCTCTCTTGGGTTCAGTTCTTTCTAACCTTCTTTTGGTCCTTGGAACCTCCCTTTTCTGTGGTGGTCTTGCTAACCTCAGAAGGGAGCAAAAATTTGAAAGAGTAAGGCCCTAATCTTAACCCAAGCTCAATTTGCATTATATAATTTCATATGTTAACTTCCCTTTTAATCATCCAAACTATGCTTCTTCATACCTTAATTTATATGGCCATTGTTTCATCAGAGACAGGCCAATGTGAACTCTCTCCTTCTACTTCTAGGAACATTCTGCCACACGCTCCCAATGCTGCTTCAATATGCTGGGGACTCTGCTGCAACAAAAGACCAAACACTCCAATTCTCAAGGGCCATTAGTATCCTAATGCTACTTTCTTATATTGCATTCATGTTCTTCCAGTTGTGGACTCACCGCGGATTTTTCGAATTGCAGCAAGTAATTATCCTAAGGTTTTGGCTGCAATGTTAATTTCATTTTCATGCTTCCAAACTTTCTTTCAGTAGTGCATTGGGAACAATGTTCTGCAATACAAGTAGGTCATACAAGAAAAGCATTCATCTAGTTATATATGCAGTAAGAGAAGTAAGAAAACAAATATGCAGACATGTGCTCAACTATCATGCAAGTCTTCATTTCTAACCTGTCCATGAGATTGAAGCACCCCAAAAATAAACAGAGTTTTTTTAAAGCAATTGATTGACATATGCATTAGCTTGACTTTTCTGTGCTTCCATTCCCAAAAAACAAGCAAATAAATACTAGAGCTCAGCTAAGGAACTATAATAATGCAACTGGTCAGGTATCAGAAGTTGATGGTGATGAAGATGTTGAAGAAGAAGTGGCTGAGATAGGTTTCTGTAGTGGATTTGCTTGGCTGTTTGCTGTCACTGCCATCACAGCTTTGTTGTCTGAGTATGTTGTGGGCACAATTGAGGTAATTAGTACACTATGTTCTTGAGTGGATTGTTAATTTTCTAAACAGAAAGCATTTCACTGAAATTCCTAATTGTATTAGGATGCATCAAAATCTTGGGGTTTGTCTTTCAGCTTCCTCAGCCTCATCTTGGTACCAATTCTTGGAAATGCAGCTGAGCATGCAGGATCAATCATTTTTGCTTTCAAGAACAAGTTGGTGAGAAATGATAAATAGTGGCCTTTTCTCATTCAAAACTAATGGCAAATTGGAAAATCCAGTTCCTTTCATTTGGGAACTTATAACCAACTTTATATTTTCTGTTTTGCACAAATGCAGGACATATCATTAGGAGTCTCTTTGGGGTCTGCAACTCAGGTCGCCATGTTCGTGGTTCGTATCGATTATCAAAGCTGAATTACTGCAGGCCTTGCAGTTCTCTTTCCAAATTGAATTATAATGAAAAATCCATGCATTAACATGAACAATTTTTCTAATTGTGTGACGACTCAGGTCCCGTGCTGCGTCGTTGTTGCTTGGATAATGGGCATCAACATGGATCTTAACTTCAATGTCATTGAAACAGTGTCTCTTGCTCTAGCAGTGATCACCACAGCCTTTGCTTTACAGGTAACATTCACATCAATCATACAGAACATAACTTCCTATTAGAAACTTGCTAGCTGTCCTGTTTTTTCTTGATCATTGAGTTATATTATTTCAAGTCTTGTAATGTTTGATTTTTATAGGATGGCACATCCCATTATGTGAAAGGGTTGGTTCTTATTTTCTGCTACATTGTTATTGGAATCTGCTTCTTTGTATTCGAAACGCCGGTTGGTGAGTACTCAGAAACGCTGCAAACACCACCAAACCCTTGTCAGTTTCCATAGTTCTCCACATACATACATGTATATTAAGTCATAATTTATTTCTCACAGACCAAACAGCATCAACTTGAGGCTAAAATCACCAACTATGAAAGCAGTTTTCAGAGCTTAAAATAGTGGGCAGGTAATAAGTTATCTCTTCTGTGCTATATGATTTGTGGTCCTGTGGATATAGCCAGAGGTTTATGGTAGTTACCTTTGCATTGCGATTGGGATTGGACAGTTATAGCCAGAGGTTTATGGTAGTTACCTTTGCATTGCAATTGGGATTGGACAGTTATAGCCATATGATAGTTACCTTTGCATTGCGATTGGGATTGGACAGTTATAGCCAGAGGTTTATGGTAGTTAACCAACATAACAACAGCCATCTTCAGCTGCGCTTCGACTCGAGCGCGCCTTATGATATTTTCTCCTTTTTGTTCCAGCCACGGCGTCGTTTTGCATGTTTATTATGTGCACCACATTTCCTTTTTCTTTTCTTTTTTTGCCAAGCTTTTTCTTTTTCTTTGTTTGAAATATTCAAAAATGTTGAGGAAAATGTTAATAGCAAGAGAAAAATGCATTGGAAAATACGAAAGAGAGAAATATCCAATATATTATTAGAAATCATAAATTTGAAACAAATAAATATAAATATAAATCTCATGAAATCACATATATAAGGAGGGGCTCAAGTCAGGCATCTACCCAGAGCCCACATATAAGGTCACAACTGGCCCACAAAGCAATTTACCTTGGATAATACTTCCCTCCTTACATTCTATTGTGGCTCACCACAAAGTGACATGTGTACTTTTCTTTTTAGTTGTCAGAACAACTTCTTTCTTTTTTCACTTATACTCAACCCCTAACTTTCCACCAAAATAGAAAGAAAAAAAATCCATGTTTTGTTTTTGTTTTTTTTTTTTTTTTTTTTTTTTTTTTTACTTTATTTTTCATTTTAAAATTTAAATAATAATAATTTCCTTCCTCAGTCAAAATTTAAGTCTACAACCCTTTCCAACTCTAACTTTAATAATCCATTTACAACCGAAGTTCTACTAACAACATTTGTAGACATAGTTTCTTCATGGATGTTTTTTACATATAGGATCATGCTACAAAGTAAAAAAAAACAATGAGAATTTTATTTTTATTTTTATTTTATATGTTTTGGTAAAAAGCTAGGGGTTGAGTAAAAGTGAAAAAAGAAGAAATTGTTTTGACAATTAAAAAAAAGAAGACATATGTCACTTTGTGATTGAGCCATAATAGAAGGTAAGGAGGGAAGTATTGTCCATATCAATTTACTAACGCCTAACGCCTAACTCCTAGGCGGCCAAAAAAAGCGCCTAAGCGGCCACCTAGGCCAATTTTTCAAACCTTTGACAATTATTGCAGCTACTTATGTCTTTGTCCTGCAGAGTATACCTCCAATCCAAACAACAAAGTGAATCAAAGGTTATTCATATACAAATATTACGCGAGAAAACTGAAAAAACACACACAAATATCCAAGGCATCAAATTAAGTGGGAAAATCTCCGATGAGAGAGCAAAGCGATGTGAAGCGAAGAGAGTGGCGATGCTATCGACGAATCGGTGCACTACTCCTCACTAGCCAGGAGGAGTCGTCGTGGCTATGCTCCTCTGTCTTTCTCCCTTTTCATTCCTTCCTTTGGGGCCTGAGTTCACACAACATAAAAAATGAAACAAAAAAAATTTGAAAACTGGAGAAAAGCAAAGAAGAAGGGAAGTGGAAGAAGCTGAAATTTTAGGATTGTTTTCTAATTTTTTCGGTTCCTTTCGGTTTCTAAAATTTCAACCCTAAACCCTAAATGATGGGGCCGAGTTTTCTGGATTGTTTTTTATTTATTTATTTATTTATAATTACGATTTACAAAAATACCCAATCTGAACTTTGAATATAAATTTTTATTAGCAGTTGTTTGTTTATTTTCAGAGGTATTTGTGACCAATGATTTTTGGTGAAGCCTGTAATTCTAACTGCTTTTCACCTCACTTTATAAGAGCATGTCTAATGCAAGGGCAAGGGGCAAGGGGTTAGGTGTTGTTTTAGCTCCTCAAAATGGTACTATTCACAAAATTTAGCCTCTCAAAATTTTTGCGGTTCTAGTAGCAGTGAGGAGCTACGAGCTAAAACTCAAAATTTGTTATGTTTGTTTATTATTATTTTATTTGGGAAAAAAAATCAAAATATAAGAAAAGCAACACAAAAATTTATTTTTGGAAACAATTTTGAGCCATAATTTTGAACAATAATTTTGAGCAAAATGAAAAAAGACACACACAATTTTTTTTTTCTTTTCATTTTCATTAATTTTGTAGAAATATAAAGAGAATAAACAAGTAAAAAGGTTTGGAGTATATAAAAAATAAAAAGGTAAAAACAAGGCTCAACTAGCCGTTGAAAAGTGAAATAAAAAAAGAACAACCCAACAAGTTGCCGTTGAAAAATTAACTTTTGGTGCGTCATGTGGCAAAGCCTCATAGGCCATTGCATTTCCTTTTCTTTTTTTTTTTTTTTTTTTTTTTTTTCTAAAAACTGTGGGGCTCGCTCTTGCCCAAGTTAACACTTAGGCCTAAACCAGCCCCTTATCCTGTCTTAGGCCAAACTAGATTGGGTCAAACACATGCATTAAAAAGTGTTATTCATTTATTTATTTGAGGTTAGATCTAGACCTAGCCTAGGCCAGATAAGTCCCATTAAACATGCTATAATGGTAGAGATATATTCGGATCCAACTTGTTAGTGGAATAAAATGTATGTTCTATTTTGTGTTGTAATATTCTAGTTTTTTGTCTGATGCTTCGATATTCTATAAAAATTCATTTGTTTGTAACCAAACTAAGTTAGACAGAGCCTTTGGAAGGAGGGGAGGGCATACTTGTTAAAAAATATAAGTCACACATCGGAAAATTAACTAAATAAAATGTAAAATATAATGAGTGGTTCAACTACTAATATTAACAAGGTCTTTTATGATAAAACCTCATACATATTAGGCTTTGTCAGTGGTTAAGTTATGAACAATATCGATATTGTTAATAATAAGCTGTTGACCCGTCTCTTTGAATTTAACAATACTTAATTATGGTTAATTATTGGTGGGTCTCATAAAATACAATTAACTTTAACAGTCTCCTTTTAGAATATAATAAAACTTTTTTTGTCTTTATCATCTTGTACTCCCGATCTTGCCGACTATTTTATTTGATAGAGATAGAAATCTACCTGCATGAAACTCTCCACTCACTAGCTATATACAAACCAAATCTTCCACAATATTTTATAGGTTTGGATGAATGGTGCTGTCAAGCCTTGGTTGGTTTGACTTGTACTGAACTTGGTTCACCATACATACCCGTAAGGCCTTTAAATATATATGATGTATAATTAGCACAGAGTCCAAATGCGAAACGACTTCTTCTCTGGACCATCCGAACTTTCTACTCTCAGCAATCTTACTTCATATCAGTCTTCTTTCGAAGAAGAAATAGTCTTTCAGAACTGGTTGTCTTTTTCATGGTAGAAATCTAATCCTACGTTTCTCTCTTAACTTCTTCTCTCCGAAATCAAATCAAATCAGGATTCATGTGCAGTTTAACCACAAAGTCAGTATCCACGAGTCTCATTGAAGACTAAAGATACGGAATATATTACCGTACGGACGTCTCATATATATACCAACAAAATAAATTAACTGAGACGTCCCTACATATATATATTGGAAATTTCTCGGAAGTTGCAGCTTCAGCAAGATGTCCCTACACACATGCACACCACATTACTGCCCACAACCAAAATTCCGTCCTCAATCCAAAAATGTAGTATAAAACTCACATGCTCATGTCACAGAGGATCTACAAAAATCTTCATACCAGATAGAGAACGATGATGATGCGGGGAAAATATTTACGTACGTGTCCATATATACCAAATAATATTCGCTTAATTCAATTGATGGAGGGGGAAGGAAACTTCGCGGAAGCTGTCTAGGGTTCCACAGACAAGCATCATCATGGTGTGGAAGGCAGATATAATTTGGGAATGTAAAAAAGAGCTAGGGTTCTTTCTTGATAATGTGATAAGAGCTATATATATCAATCTCAGATTCTCAGTTAAAGTAAGTATTATGTAGATGATGATACATTATATTATCCATATATAATAACATGTAAGTATGAAGTTTTTAGAGAAGATATGCAAGATTTACTTATGCAAGCCGCAAGTGAAATGATGTTATAATAAGCAGGTACGTACGTAGTGTGAAAGCAACTTATACCAGAGATTGAAAGTTTGAAATTAAGAGTAGGGGCCTCGTGGACATACACAGTTCAGTAACAGCAGGCAGAATAATGGACCATAAAATCTAAACTAAGTAAGCCGACTTGCTAGCTAGAAGATCTTCACCCATTAAAACCCTTTGCACAATTGACAGTCTTGACACTTGAGTCCGCAAATATATATATAGGCACTTAGAAATCTTGCCCTTAAATAGTAAAGAACGAAACTTCTCTCTTCCTTCCTCTAATTTGGAAGTTCTTGCAGCTTAATTAGTGAAGTGCAGGGTCATTTTTGTTCTCATTATTATAAACGTAGCCACCCAGAGAGTTCAAGCTATGCATACACTCTACAAATACAAAGAAGACAGTTTTGTATGTGTATGCGTATATGCGTAGCTTGAACTTCATTGTACGTATCGATCTTTGTTTCACTTGGGATAATTTTAGGACTGTAATTTGTTATACGGATTTATATGCATGTGTGGTCCGTGGATGTAGAGAACAAAATCGACAAAAAAACAAAAATGCTGGTCTGCAACTCCATGTGAGCCAGTCATTCTTTCATGAAAGGTCGAGAGATCAAATGCAGAGAGAGAGGTAAGCAAGCATAGCCGTCTCAAGTTGTACTGCTTGAGATATTGAGCGTGAGATACATTGATATGAGACCGATCAAGTTAGCTTCTGCGAAGGTTCCTCTGTATATTTTCAGTAGGT